TTTTTTTAAACTTTTTCTTTTTCAGGAAAGAAATTCGATGCAACGACGAGAACTCGGAATTGGGTTGCTTGTTTATCGAACGATTTGATGTAAAGAAAATGGATAAAAACTTGTCGATTTGGATCATACTTGAGAAAATATATGGCAATTGCATGAAAGTAAGAGGTTCGGAATAATAGAGACAATAACAGAATTCGATCGATTAATGTGCTTTTGAAAGCGAGTCAGCTGTGGTGCGGTTTACGGAGTCGAAAGATAACAAATCGAAGGCAAATTTTATAATTAGTAATTGATTTCGCGCTGATAATGTACTTCGCGATCTGTGACGAATATCGTATACTACGTTTGACATTAATTATTCTTTTGAGATCGACCAAGTAGGAAACATGTTATTCATAATATTAAATCTCGCGCTTCTTTTGTTTTTGTCGCCCGCGCGAGCTGCTTTGGAAACGAGTGAGTTTTCTTCTTTCCTCTTCTAATAGATTTTATGTTTTTACCGACGAAATGTTCTTTTTTTCCAATACAGAATGTCCGGTGGATTACGCGAAGATTATCGAATTCGAGCAACGTTTCCATTTCAGAATTCATGGACTGGATGTGAAGTTGCATTACGACGATCACGATCTAGCCGATACTACTGTCACTGCAGGAAATGAGACGCAGATATCGATACCCACGGCTAATGTCGCTTTTACGGGTAAGCTAATTTTGCAGATTTTATACGAAGTATCTTGTATCAAACATAATCTCGAAAATATTGCGATTGCACAACCGACTTCGCCACGTTCTTTGAGGTTTGCTAATTTAAACTTTTTTAGCCTTCGTGTCGAGAGAGAACGGCTTATCCACGGAAAAAATCCAGGATACTTTTAAGACGGGACGTTTTATCGTCAAGGGTGTAAGTAGAGCTATTTGCAAAATATGATACCTCGCGAAACATCTTTTTTTAAGTACATAAGTCAAACTTAACTTGTATCTAAATTCTTACCAACCAGCCATCGAAAAGCGTCAACGGGAGCGACGGATGCAAATTAGTGAAAGAGGAAACGTATTCATTGGGGTATACATCAATTAATAAAAAATATCATAAAATTGTTTATTCGCCTTTTTAATTATTTTTGAATTATTTTGACAGTCAAAATATACCATACGATGTTGGGCCTATCGTCAGACACTTAGTAAGAGAGTGCGGAGTGAAAAAAGTCTGCGCAGAATTGCAATCATTGAATCACAATGGCAACCCTTGTATTCGCCCAACTGATGAAATTTCATTCAAAGATCATCAGCAACATTTGCTTGAAATATGTCCGACATCTATGATCGAAGATATTAAAAAAAACCCACAGGTAAGTTATTGCGGATACGAAAAAGTATCCATCGCTACAAAATACTATCGTTTATTTTCAGGAAACGGTCAATGCTTTGATTGATTTCGTAATATCCAAAGGAATTAATTCAGTCACTAAGAATAGCTCCGGTATTGTCGATATTCCTCGAGTTCACCAACCTTTCGCAACTGGACGTTCGTTCTGGGAGGTTCAGGGAGCTTTTGATATTTTCAATGGAACTGTTCGGTATACACAATTTTGTTCGAATTCATGATATTACCAATTATTGATAATTTTTATTCACAACATACTTGAATCGCAGGGATTTGAGAACTTTGGAAAGAGTCGGAGATATCGTTTTCTCTAATAATCGTCAAAGATTCGAAGTATCTTTGCTCTACAAGCTATCTGATTTATTAGTTGAAATCGATCATTACAATGTGAGTAAAAGAATCGCAGTGGTATCTACATTTTTAATGCTTGATTATTGACCATTAATTGAATTGTTTTCAGATAAGGTACGGAAAAATTAACATCAATGGAAATGTTACTATGGCAGTTAGCGACTTGGAATTGCTCGCTGATTTATCCGTGGATTACAACGAAAAGCCGTGCAGAGCAACATTGAATCAATTGGTAGAGAGAAAACCTTATAAGGTGGAATTTCATCTAACCGGTCTATGGATATTAAATCGTCCAGTCTCAAGTATAATAAAATGGTTGATACCAAAATATGCCATTCCTCAAGCTCAGAAGGCGCTCGCTAATTTAGTAGCCAATTTTGATTGCGAAATGTATAGGCCTAAAATTCAACTGTAACATTTATTATGTTAAAACATTTTTTGTACGAATCAACTCAATTTTTATACGAAGAATAAACAAATCAAATTTTTTACGGAAAAATGAACTGTAAATATTCAAATTATCAGACCACATTTGCATAAAAGCCACGCTTAGCCGCAAAATTTGACTAATTTAATATTTGTATATCTGACGTAGTTAAACATGTTCTCAATAAAAAAAAATAATGTGTTTGAATAATATGATTTGACAATTAAAAATAAAAATAATGGCAAAAGTTGTTTATCTACTACACGTGTATACACTTTGAATGCGTGTGAAGTTTAACACTGAATGAATTTCAATCGGATGTAATTACGTATAATCTCATTCAAATTTTAAAAATATCATTCCACATCTGTTATCACAATAAGACATGAGTTTAATTGTTGCATGGATTACTTCTTTGAAATTTATCGTGCAATAATCAAAATTCAAGTCGATCGATCTTCAATATTTTAAAATTGTCTTTCAGTCATTGCGCTCACGCATCGCGTTACATAGACGCATAAAGATTAATATTTCCGTTGTTATTCAAAGAAAAAATAAAGGCAAATGTATTTTGTGACGCTATTTGTTTTGTTTATAGAATTCGAAAAAAACCTGAATAAACGCAAATAAAAAAAAATAAATCTGTCGAATTAAAGTAACTAAGACATTATCAGTTTTAATTAGACTCTGTGCTTAAGTGGTTTGTTGTAAGTGAATAAAAAAGCTGCGAAGATGAAATTACAGTTGACGTTGGCCTGTATTTTTCTTTTACAAATAGTAAATTCATACGCGGTTGATACTATAAGTAAGTAATTTAAATTCTTTAAAGAAGATGAAATTGATTGAGTATAGTTCGTGCAAAGTAAACGTCTCTTTCTAGACTGCAAACCAGCTCTGAGCCACATAATTATTCTCGAGAAGACTCATAGACTTCATATACACGATGTAGATTTGAAATTGAATTTTGATAAAGCCGACCTGAATGATCAATCAGCAAAAAATGGAACTCTATTCTTGAAAAAGGCTAATGTTCATTTTTCAGGTGAAATATTTTTCCTTTTTCTTTTTACGTTCATAACAATAAACTGAAAGTTGATTTTATTTAGGTTTTGTTGTTGGAAACGGAGAACGAATAATACGTAAAACCTTGAATTTTAAAACCGCTCCGTATGCTTTCCAGTTATCAAGAGTAAGTTAACAATACTTATAATTGAAGAAAATTTTAATAAATGTTCATATCTCAATTTTTTCAATAGTTCAATGATTGGGGTTTGCAAGAATGCAGTGTCAACACAGGAATGAACAACAGATTAAGGTATCCAACTCGACACGCATTTGTATCAAATTTTTGGAAATATTAAAACAAATTTTTACATTCAACAGTTTAGGTCTTTCTCCAAATGTTGAGAAAGCTATTGCTAGTCTAACGGAAGAATGTTTGAAGTCAACTATTTGTCACAATGCAAGAGCCAAAAAAACTTCTCTTCAAGTTTTGAGTTCGCCAATAAAAAATGACTTTAACGCGGACTATCAATGCGGTCACTACAAAAATTTGGTGTACAACCCAACTGTAAGTAAATATATATCTTAAATTTATGAAGTTAAAAATTAAACCCACGTCAATGAACAATTATTTTTGTAGAAAACCCTTAATGTATTATTCGATTTTGTCATTGATTATATGAGAAATAGTATTTCAAACAATGGAAACTTCACAATACCAGATCTCCACGTTGATGGAAGTCTCATGGTGCCTAAAATTGTTGCATATAACGGAAGCGTGAGGTAAAACAGTTTTTAAATCATTATGGCTTGATTGCATCAGTTAAATTAAATTACAACTACGTGAACTTTAGTGGTCTCGACACCTTGAAGAGAGTCGGCGATCTAAAATTGAAGCACGACAAGCAGCGTTTTAGCTTTGGTATCGCTTTCACGGTAAAGGAAGCAAAGATACAATATCAAAAATACAAGGTAAGCCCGTATGAAACTCAATGAAAGCTCAAAAGGTAAATGTAAAATTTTACTGCAGGTAACGAGGATGGGCGTCGGACCCCAAGGAAAAATTTCCGGAAAATTGAAGGATGCTCGGGCAGAAATACATATCGTATTTAATTATAACTTGAAGCCTTGCAAGGTATTCGTCGAGAAATTCGATCTGTCTACTAAAACGGAGCTAAAACTGACTGGATTCTCCGTGCTGAACAGCGCCGTTGCGAAGACCCTAAATTTTACAATAGGAATGATACTGGAAAAGTCGGCCAGAAAGGGCATCGAGGCAGCATTAAACAATATTCAATGTGAGAAGTTCCGCCCGTGAAACACAAAATATACTAAATTCAATTTACCATTAATTGTATGCGTGAATTGATTTTTCAATCTTTATAATTTTATAGTTATCTTTTTATAAAATATCACCTCGCAATTGTAAAAAATTGGCCAAGAATAAAAATGATCGGAGACACGAACGGTGCAAAGTGGGATATTCCGCTTACACTCGAGATGTTATGAAGTCTATTATTTGATCGTAAGAAAAAAACAGAGATGAACATTATTCATCGATTCTATATATAACACGTGTATTATCTCCATCTCTTTCATCTCGAGACGCGGAGTAAACTGAGAGAATAGAAGTAGGGAAAGAACAGAGAAACAAGACGTCGCGTCGTCCACTGTAAGTCGGGACGAATAAGCGAGAAAAACGAGTTCTCTTGAGACCTAATAGAAATCATTACAGCTGCACAATGAGAAGCGTAGTAAGAACATCAAAGTCTGCGTATATAGTTCCCCTCCAATAATGTAGCACACTATACATAAAACCCAACCGTGGCGATCATTTGTTGTTTATGAATCATGGCGAGCGAATTGCTCAGTCAGCTTCGAGTGACCGCTCGCGAAAGGTGTTGAAATACAAAAAATAAAATCGTTCTTCCTCTGTCACGTCGATGTTTTAAGCTCCGATCAGGTCAGTGTGCAGTGCGATACAAAAAACAAAATAAAAAATAACCACCGTATACTACTGGTAAACCGAGTGGGCCGTAGGCGCGTATAATATAATTTCGAGCGCGATAAACATGGTCTCTCGTTTTTATCTCGCTCTGCCAAATGCGTGACGCAGTCTCGACGCGCGCGAATTCCAACTGCGTCGTTCGGTGTCAACTATATATATATAGTAAAGTACACGTGTAGCATGATAATAAGCATCGAGAGTTCAGATATCGTTCGATACGCGGTATATTAATAAAAAAAATAATAATAATTATACGTAAATAATCGCTTGAGAGTCCGAGCAGGTAAGCGTACGATATATATGAGCGATGTTTATGGCTTGTTATACTCGCGAGCCCACGCGTCAAAGAAAGAGAGAGAGAAATTCGAAACACGAGGGATAAGAGGTGTCAAGTTTTCACGCTACTCGAACTTGTCCGTATCGATAAACGCGGAAAAAGCCGAGGATAGAATAATGCACGAAATAGCAACCGCACTAAAAGACTATTTTGTGCGAGTGCACGCACGGAGAGTAGTAACCGTAAAGCTGCAAAGATCGCCTCTTTCTCTCTACTATATATGCACGTTATAGTACAATCACGCCTGCCGCTGCTGTTGTTGTTGTTGTAGATATATATACTCCGCGAAGCACAAGGCCGATGCGTAGTGCAAATAGGAAACGACTGCTATGACTACGACGACGATCACGTTGGCGCGCGTTCCTTTGGCGATCGCCACCGCCACTGTTCTGCTCCTCTTGAATCTGTCCACGCCGCTATCTGCCGAATGGATAGGTAAGTTTATTTATCTCTCCGTATACTCTCGCCGATAAGCCGCGCAAAAAAAAGTAAAGAATTCGATGTATGTAGTTCATATAATAATTAACGCGTGGTGCGAATCGCTGACCGTTGAGTCAGTAATTAAATATTTTTTCTCTTCACTGTATCTTCTTCTTTTTTCATTTTTTTTTTTTTTGCACACACCAGATTGTATCTCGCCGTCTGACGCTACTTGGATCGTACAGTCGGACGACGTCGGTCGCGATCAGCAGCAGCTCGCCGTTCGCGATGCCGACGTAAAGATCGCCTACGAGAGAGACCAGCTGGCCGTCTACGAGTATGTGGGCCACGATCTCGTCAATGTGCTCTTGAACGATACGCTCGTCTACTTTCAAGGTAATGTTATTATAGAAATGTGCATAATGGAGTGCGCGTGCAAGAATCTTTTGTGCGTTCGTATTTACCTCTCACTCTTTCTCACTCTTGAAACTCCTCGACAGGTTCCATAGTAAATACGGCCGACGACAGCCAAGACATGAGTTCCAAGGCCAAAACGACCAAGATGTTCAAGTCGAACTTGGCCGGCACCGCGAGATTATCCGTGAGTTATACAAACAAGACGGTGAAATCGACGATCGGTGATCGTGTGGTATAGTTTGTTGGTAATGATTTGTGTGTGTGTTGTTTTAGCAAAGCGGGCCGAATCTGACCGACTGCAAGTGGTATTTTTCGAGGAATCCAAAGAACGCGTAAGAACAATAAGCTCGATTTTGTATCAAATTCCATTGATTGATTCGAGTAATTGAAGATATTGTGTTGTTTTCTCTCATTCAAGTGATCAAAATGTGCCGGAAAACGTGGAAGTATCGATACTGCGAGAAGCAGCCTCGTGCGCCAAAGCGAAATTATGCAAGCGAATCGGATCGATCAATTTTCAAGACACCGTGAGAGCGATCAAGCACCCCTTTCAATTCGGCTCGATCTCGGTGCTCACGAAAATGGTCAACAAGACGATCGACGACAAAGCTCTGAGGCAAGAGGTCAAAACTCTGCTGCGCCAGCTCAATCCCGAGGATTTGAACTCGCGCGACATGACGTCAAATCTACAGGTGACGAGTTAAATTGTTCAATTAAAGAACGAAGGTTCGATCTATTTTAACAATGCCTACAAATTGGATTCGATACAGATGACGATCAATCGATTGGTTGATCTAGCGGTGCTCGAGATCGTGAAAAAACTGCGCAAAGAAAATATGGAGCAGATCAACATACCCGATTTACAGCAGAACTTCACCACCGGCTCGTCGTGGTGGACGACCACCGGCGATTTTATTGCTCAACGTGGAACATTCGAGTTTGTTTTTAATGAAATTATGATAATTAATCAGGAAAAATTATAAAAAAAATAATGATATTCATTTCATCGTTTTACAGAGATCTCACTACGCTTTCAAGGACAGGAGACGCGAAGTTGTCGCACGACGGGTTCAAATTCATAGCCTCGGGCAGTTTTGGCCTATCCACCGCCAACATGGCTTATAAAAAATACAAGGTAAAATTGAAAACGCGTTGAAACGTCTACTTTAAAAAAGTCAGATTGATTTTACAAAAAAATGTTTTTGTCCAACGTAATTTAGCTTCGTTACGGCATCATCAAAGTCAACGGTAAATTGTCAGCGGACGTTGAAGATGCAGCCATAACAGCGACAGCGAGCGTCGATTACAATCAAAAGCCATGCCGCGTTCAACTCAGCGATCTTCGAGTCAGTAACGTTGGTAAAGTTAAAGTAAAGCTCACAGGCTTGGGGCCTCTCAATAAATTATTGTCTAAACTTGTCTCATGGATTACCAAGAAATGGACCAGTGAAATAGTGAGCCTAGTTGAAGATAAACTGCGAATTATCGTTGCAGAGCATCTAAATAATTTTGATTGCGAAAGATTCAGATTATAATGAGACTGAGCTTGTGTTGAGTAAACAGAAGCCATGAACATTTTTTAAAATTATTCCAGGAGATTATTAAGCATTTTGCCACAATTAGTTTAATACTTAGTTTCTAAAAATAATTTGTATGAATTATATTTACATAATAGTGTTATGATATATATTTTTAATAAAATCATGATATACTGTAAAAAACTTGTTTTCATGAGAAAGTTTTATAAGTTTTCAAAATAATAAGTCAATCGTACAAAATAAAAATGTGGACTTACCACTTAGCTCAGTTGAGAGGATTGATAACTTTTCCAACAATGACACTTATATCGTAGTACATAATCATAAATATGAATGGTTTATTTACATGAAATTCTGGTGGATTAACGTAATGACTGGTTTCACTGTTTAAATTTGAAACTATTTGAAAGAATATAATACAATTAATACTTTGGTTTATGAAAAAATGTGAATTGCTATAGATCATACATACACACTGTAGATGAGGGTTCTGAACCGGCTTCCACGATATTCACAAAGCAATTTTGAAAAATGCTGTTCAAGACTACAGATTTTTCACATGTAATTCCACTCAAGTCGGCTTTTTCCAAAAATAGATTATACAAGCCCAACTGAAACATTAAAAGCACCATGAGCGTTAAAAAATAAATCATTTTACCTTCAGTATAATCACCTCTCACAAATTATATTCACCTCTTTTAAAGAAATTTCCAAATCCAACTTTTGATCAATCTTGAACTTTGGCAAAAGAAGCAAATAGGTAGCTCCTTCTCTTTTTGTAAAATTAGAAATTATTTTATCAAGTTCGTTCTCAACAATAGACAGTTCACTCGCTTTATAAGGCATAATAATTAGCATAGAAAAACCATTTACCTGTAACAAAAATGTTTGTATTGATTCATCAAAAAGTTCAAATAGGCTTTGAATACCATAACTTACATTATAAGGTATGTTTACCAACTCAGCGTTATGGGTCTTTGCATAAGTTAGATCAATGCGAACTTTAGCTTTCATGGTAGGGACATCAATACTCATAGAATCGTCAATAAAAAAAGGTAACAATTTTGTATTTTGTTCCTCAAATGGATATTCCCAGGTAAATTTAGGAATCACAATACTAAATATTATGATGGACGGTAAGCACGTCTTTTCAAAATGCTCTGCAAAAAGAAATTTTGAAAATCAAAGTTGCAGTTGGAAGATTGGCAGTTAGAATTCGTTTTATCAACGAATTAAAATTTCAATAAAATACATACTTGAGGACGCAATATTATTAACCTTGCCATCGGTTTTCTTTTTGCACCAAACATTTGTAACACGAGCCACTTCCTCGCGATCATGCAAGTCCATAACGTCGCATCTAACGTGAAGTTGCGAGTTGATGGTACTTTTGAATCCGTCAACGATTTCAGTATTCTTAACGTTCTGAATGTATATTCGGTTAGCTAGATAAAGTTGCTCATAACAGTTATCGTATATCTGAAAGCAAATAAACAAAATCGCAAACAATAATCACTTTCCCATGTCGAGTATGAGCTTCAACGTACATTCAGATTCGTAACGGTCAGCTCGTGGAACAACCTGTTGAAATTCGCAATCGCGCCATCAATGGCGTCGTTGAAGTAAAGCGAGATGCCCATATCTTTTCGAGTTTTGCCCCTTGCACCAGACCCGATTAATGCCATCGCAAAATGAATGCACAAGGGTGAACAAACGACATTTTTTGATTCTTGACCGCTCAACGTCTAAATCAAGTATGAAATATTACCCGTCAATGAAAGAATACAATGCGAACTTACGAGGAATTGGATATTGTACTTTGTAAAAGTCAACGGTAAAACTTCGAATGCTCTTCAAAAACTGTAGATCCATGGCCGTTATCTTAAAGTTTTTAATTATTAATTGATTTATTAAAAGTTCAATACAACTAATAAAATGAATCTAATCACTGAGCATCGGGGTATATAATTCAGCCGATTGCCGGCAACCGGTAGTTCTGAACATTGGCGGTTATGAATTCGGATTTTCATAGGGGTTTCGGCGGGCTCCGTAGTGCCAACTGCGCAGATACAAAAAAAATAAGTTTGAATTTTCGAAGTATTCTTAATTTGAAAATTCATTTCGTAAAACGTTTTCTAATTAAGAACTTTTTTAATAAATAACTTTGAATGAAGTAATAAATAATAAATGAAATTTTTGGTTTAGTTTTAAAATAAATATTACTTTATTCTCCAAGAACTATCAGCGTCATGAGTCATATTGTACATGAATACAATTATTTACACTTCTTAACACATTTTTTTGTACTATAATAGAAAAAAATATATTAATAGCCCACAAACAAATGATTGAAAACTACTAGTCAATATTGTAATTAAGCTTTTTACAAATTATTCACTACTCGAAAATTTAATCTGAGTACTATTAATTGGGCTGTTATTCAACAAAATATTTGAAACTTTTAAAATCATTTGATAAGTTAAACGAAAAAGTATATACAAAAAATTTCTTAATTTATCCATAATAGTAGTCTATAATTTATATTACTAGCACTAGTCCATTAAGATTGCTTTAAGTCCTGCTCACTTTCAATCTTTGATACTTCATTATTTATTTCTTCTGTACAGTCAGTCTTGATATTAACATTGGATATATAAATATCTTCAATGATTCTCGGATATACTTTTACTGGTTTTTCCTCATTTAAATTTTCAATTTCACAAGGTTGATTGGAGGTCGTTTGAATTTCGTTTGATACTGAATCTCCAAGTATCTTTGCTACTGTCTCTACAGTAATATTTTTAGAATCAACCGTTTTCTCTGAACTAATGGATAACATTGGTTTACTTGTAAACACAATTTTTTTTTCTATCTCTGGAGTATCATCTCTCTGTTCTGTCTCTGGCGTACTTACTTCTTCAAGAGATTTATTCTCCTCTAGAGGTAAATCTTTTTCAGGAGTATTTTCTGCATCTTTTTCATTTTTAGCATTCGATATACCCTTTAGTGATAAATATTCTTCAACAGAGCCAATTGGTTGAACAGAATTCTGTTCAGAATTTTCCTGAATCAAAGGTTTGGGTTTGAGTTTTATCTGTCTTTGTCGTTCTCGAAGCCTTTTTCTAATTTCTGATTGCATCTTTGATTCCTTTATCACAGATTGTACTTCATCTTTCTGATAATATCTTGTAGCCCAGGTTTCAGAAGTCATAGATCCTTCATCTTCATTTTTCTGTTCAGTCTCTGGAGGTGTATTGTTTGATTGATTATTTATATTTGACATGTTTTCATCATCTTCATCATCAGGATAATCATCTAAATTGATAATTTCCTGAATGTTATCGAGAGCTTTATCAAGTTCCATATCATCAAAAATCTCCTCTTTGATCTCTTTTAAATTTTCAGGGGAATCTGGAATTTCTATTGGTTCATCATGTTTTATTTTTTTTGTACTTTTTGATGATTTAATGGAAGTGTCAGCAGAGTTCATTGATTTTTTACTGATTTTTTGTGGTGACCTTATGTGAGGATTTTTTTTTACTTTCTTAATTTTTTTCCCACTTTCCAAATCTTGATTACTTCTTTTTTCAGAGTTTATTTTTTTCATTTTTTCTGAATCTGTTTTAGAAACAACATTTGGGGTATCTTTCAGAGAATCAAGTGTGACTTGAACATTTTCATCTTCATCACAAATTTCACCATCTTCTAAATCCATAGGTTTTTCTACACTTACAGAGGTTCCATCAACTTCCATACTTTCAGTAACACTGATAGGTAAGTTTAAATTTATATCTGCATCTATTTTTTCTTTAGGATCTGAGGTTTTATCTGTTCCTTTTTCTTTTTGGCTATCTTGATTGTTGTTTGAACTCTCTGGCATGCCTTCAATCTCGTTATTATTTGTTTTAGTAATACTTTTTTCGTTTTGTTCTTGGTTGACTTTTTTACTAGAACTAATTGAACTTTTATCTTTCTCACCCATTAAATCATTTTCATCTTCACTGGAAATAAGTTCAATTGTTGGAGCTGGATTAATAACAATAAAAAGATCTTCGTCATCACCATGTTTCTCCATCAATACATCAATTTTTTCAAGTTGTTCCTTTAACTGGTTCTGTCTTACTTTAGATGCAGAATCAATTACAGTCTTAGAGCCAGATGAAGTTGATGCAGTTGAATTATTAGTTGGTCCAGATACAACAGTACTTGTAGTTTCTTCTTTACGTATTAAAGCTCTGATAGCTCTTGCTCTCATTTCTAGTTCAAGCAAATCAAGTAAATTTTCACCATCTTTTCCTTTTTCTTTTCCTTTTTCTTTGTCTTTTTTCTCTGTTTTAATTTTTTCACTTTTTATTTTTTCATTTTTAATTTTAATATTGGTTTTGCTATTTTTATTTAATTTTTCATTCTTTTTGGATTTTGACTTTGAACTTTGAGACTTTTTCTTTTTTTTATCTGTTGTATTTTTTGGTTCTTCTTCCTTAATTATAAGGTCATCATCACTGATAAGCTCAGTATCCGATACGATTTCCAGTGAGGGACCTGAAATAAATTATTTCAATTGTGATTGGGTTTTAATATAACTATGTACTGGAAAAAAATATTGAAGAATTTCAATTACCAGAATCATCAGAATCAGTATCCGATGATTGTAACATTTCTCTTTTGTCAATAATACATTTGATCCTGGTCCCTGACATTCCAATCAACTCATTTATACACAGCTCTTTCAGCTGTTCAAAATCAATGTTCTAGAATAAAAAATGTAATATATAATAGAAAAATACAAAAAACTAAAAATGATTATCAAAAAAAAATTACCCTTAATTCATTGGGTAACATCCTGCTAATACTTTTATGTGTCATTGCCTTGAACATTTGGGAGACCAATTCTTTTCTATTGTTGACGTATTCCTTTATTGATTTCAAATCTTTTGCATCTACCTCATCATCGGAAGAAAATGGAGATGAAAATGAACTGGACAAGTCGCTTATGTCAGACTCCTGTCAATTGATGAGAAAAAATTAGTTATTTACATGAAACACATAACCTAAACTTATGTATGATATTTTTGGTTTTTAAACCAATTAAACCAATTGTCTCTTCAAAATGGAATCGAAAATATATTTTTAAAACTACAGAACATCAAGTTCGATGGAACGAATAGATATTACTTGGTGTTAAACAATTCATAAATTGACTAAAGTAACAAAATTCCAACCCCGGGGCACAATATCAATTCAAAATTCATTAATTAATGTAAATATCGACATACCCCACTCGACAACCTCGATCTTCTGAATTTTCTTCCCCTCTCTGACATGGCGAATTGTTTTTGTTTCTCTCAAATCATCAACTATTCACAGCACATCGAAGCTCGCACTATCGGACCGAAAAGCCGAAACAATGGTAGCCAGCCACAACAAACTGCGAACGTAAACACGGCGTACTTATTTCGTCTGCACTTTGACTTTGGTGAAATCTCAGTTTTTTACCCCCTCCACCTTGTCATCGCAGAAGTCCGCTGCTCATATAATCTCCCTTGAATGAATCTTCGTCCTGTCAAATTAGACCATTGTATTCAACGATTGCGAGAAAAAACCTTAAAGTTTAAAAAATATCGATAACGTTGGGCATTAAATTTCGAATCGGAGTCTCAATATAAATTTTTAGTCATAGTAAACAAAGAAAATAGCCACCGTCTAATCGTTAAATACAAAATCATCTAATCGGGTCTTTCTTGACATACATTTTTACTTGTTTTGTTTAGCTAAGCGTATGTGTGCTGCAGATACCGTTGTTTACATTATTCATCGGCATGGCCTGCTTGTAGCGCCTCTCATTGAACTGCTGCTGCTTCTGCCTGCATGTGTCTGCGTGTGTCCATCCCAGCACAGCACACAGTACAGGTGTAAACGTCACACATACACACACATATCGTTACACGTATTGTACACACGCAATGACACATCTCCTGTACAACAGCTCCATTTGTGCCGTGCGTAGGAGGTATTAAGCGAGAGCCTATACTCAAAAAATTACCTCAAGTTTATATATATGTAACAACAACGTGTGCGTTGCGTTACGTGCAGTGTGTATACAATATGTGCGCGACGACAACATGTCACTTATCGTGGAAATAATTGCTCGCCGCCGAACGAATTGATAAAAAAAAAAAGAGAAAAGAAAAAAAATGTGGCATTTTTACTGCGACGGTGTTGTCGTGGTGCAGGCTGATCGCTTGAGGTGCGACGACGACGGCTACGCTGGTCGCGAGAAGGAGCTGCACCTATCCTCCTAATAACTGATATCATGCCCGCTCGCTGCTCATCGGATGAATAATAAACGCTCGTATTTTTTTCTCCATATTTCTGCTGCAAATCCGACGACGATTGTGTGCACAGAGCCGTGTCGTAGTTTTGTAACGAGTCGAGCCTTCATAGCGCAAGCATATTTCATCGTAATATGGTAAGGTATTAGAATGCAGCTTAGATTTTCTCTCTCCTTTCTCTCTCTCTCTATCTATCTTGTTCCGAAGCACGATGTGCAATTATGCTTATAAGTGCACGAGAGAAGCGTGTGGTATACCGTCTGCGATCGAATGTATCAAGCATGCAAATCAGTACTTATTTGGCGAAAGTCCGTGGGTGTATGTCGCGTTACAGATATACAACGTTAACTATCTGTTTTTGCGTTTTTTTCTTTAACATTTTCTAACTCAACGATACTCGTCATATAGCGCGCTGTCTCTTTTTTCTCGTTGCATCTCAGATAATCGCGAAGTTTGCCATAGTTAATGTATTTGCGTGTTTGTATTTGCAGATTTTAATCATGTGAATGAGGAGAGCAAGTATTACATTTTCAACTTACATTCCAAGAAGTGATAAACCAAGTATTCTCTAAGCTATAGCACAGTGTCGACACTACTTTTCATTAATTTATTGGACGACAAACAAACAAAATCACCACAATGTTGGGACGATTCAAGTCTGCCCTCATGAATGCAGTTGGTGCTTCGGAGATGGGACTGCAGTATAATAGTGATTCTGATACAGAATCAGTTACAGATCTTATTAATTCCAACTTGCCGATTGCTATTGAAACCAAACCCTACAGTAGACCAAGTTTTCTTGGACTAACAAATGAAGAGACACAGGTATGTTACTTCTGTGATAATTAGAGTTCATAACATCTGGAAATTCTAATTTCAAGAGCTTTTCACCGTTTTAGGTAAGCGCGGATCACAGGGTAAGGCCTATTATTGTACCTAGAGATCTTAGCAGATTACCATGGTGTGCTGGTTATGCGGAATGTATAAATGCTGGAAAAAGTACATGGAATGAAGATCAAGCTACAGCAATGAGAGGCGATTTAAGAATATTAGATACAAATGTAACGATACCTTACGTGATGTTTTCAATGTTTGATGGGCATGCTGGATTCCAAGTTGCATTAACTTCAAGATTACACTTACACAGGATAATTTTGGTAAGAATTAAAACATGAATTTTTCCCAAACAATGCAATAATTATTTATTTAATTTTATAGGAAAGGTTAATGTCAATCCCTGGTGAATTATTACTTAATGAAGATAAAGATGCTACAATTAAGGGAAGAGAAATGGTAATTGGAGCCATTGAACTTGCATATAAGCAGATGGATCAAATAGTAGAACATCAAGCACATAGAGGAGGAGGTGGTTGTACAGCATTAACTGTTTTATTTTTAAATGGGAGGCTTTATGCAGCTGGAGCTGGTGATTCCAGGTTTGTAGTTTTATTTTTTATCAATTTTTTTGTAACTGAAAATTTCAATAACGTTGTTTGTTTTAATTCTCAGGACAATACTTGTCTTAGGAGATAGTGAGAGAGCACTAACAAGAGATCACACTCCTGATTCAGAGTCAAGTCGAGTTAGATCTTTAGGATATTTGAAAAGTACAGAACTTCTTAAAGGACAATTTACACCTTTACAATTTAGAAAAAGACACTTTGAGAGAGATGTTGGTTCAGCAGTCATGTATAGAGAACCATTTATGACTGGGTGGGCTTATAAAATATTAACTCAAACTGATCTGCGGTTACCTCTCATATCTGGGCAAGGCAAACGAGTATGTTTTCAAATATCAATTATGTGAAAAAAAATTTAATTGAGACATTAAGTTTACTGATATAATTTTTAATTCTATAGAGCAGAGTAATGGGTACCATTGGTGTAACAAGAGGTTTTGGAGATCATGGATTAAAAGCTGGAAACACAGGAGTCAGTATAAAACCATTTTTATCATCTCAACCAGAAGTACAATCATTGGATTTAGAAGAACTAAACCTGACTGAAAGAGACTGTATAATTTTGGCTACGGATGGGCTGTGGGATGTTGTTTCTGATGAAATGGCTGCTAGCATTCTTCGTAAAACATTGGCACCAGAAAGTCCATCATTAGAATATAGGTAATTATATAAAAAGATAATTTTTGAATTTGAAACGTTTTACAAAATAAATTGACTTTATTAATTTTCTTAGACTAACAATGGGAGCTCAAGAACTTGTTCAAGGAGCACGGGGTCGTTCATTTGGACGAGAATGGTGGTTGAAAAAAGCGCAAGATAACGGTGATGAAGAAGTGAAAATGGCATCTGTAGATGATATTAGCGTAATGGTGGTACCACTTTATCCTTATTTATGCGAGCATCGTCAATGGGTCAAAACTCAACAACAAGAACGCAGACATTCAGTGAGTTCCACGCAGTCCTCACCCGAGAGTACCTAAACAACATAGCATTAAGATGAAATATTTATTACAACTCGAAAACAAAAAATGAAAAAAACTATTAAATTGTTTTGTCGAATATGAATTAATATTTAAGAGCGAATTATACGATGACTTTTACATCGTGTTTTAAAATTAACAATTTAAAAAATCAATTGTGACTTAAAAAATGAATTTATATATCTTTATAAGTTCGATATCGGACCGAGAAATCGACTGCCAGCATAATTTTAATTCATTTTGACGTTTTTAGACCTATATCTTGCCTAAGCATTTGATCAAATTAAAAACATTCCAGTTTTATACAAATTTGTCGAAGATAAATTTTCTTAGATATGAAAACATAACTTTTATATCGTGATACAAAATATCAAATGCTACGGACCTAACATACCTTATTTTGTTAATTATTCAAAAACAGTGTATTGCATAATATTTATTTTATATTATATATATGTCAAGTTTTATGTTAAATGTTATCTTCAAAGATGTACCACAAATTTTTTTGCTGCAATCATGCATGTAGATGTTTAAGAAAAAAATATAAAAAGTATTGTAAATACAGTAGTAATAAATGGAAATGAATATTTTTTAGTACATAGTATAAAAGAGACGCAAAAATTATTATTAAAATTGTGTTTATTAATGTACTTGTGCATATATTGATAAAGCTTTTTTATAGAAATCTTGACGATTACTTAATTAAATAAATGCCAACAATTATGCTTTGTAAAGACAAAAAAAATGTGACTTGTTTATTTATCCTAAGTTGACTATAATTCTGTTTACATATTTGGGGTAAAAGTTAATTCAGTTTTTCAACGAATTTTTTCAATTTCAGCGCCATTTTTCGACTGTCGTCCGCTGTCGGTAGTTGTGATCCTGAGCGCGCCGCCACGGCCATATGTAACGGCAGCACATCTGCCCTGGTTTTCTTTTTCGCGTCTACCGCTGTTGCATAGGTAACGTGTCTTTTTTACTCGTTCTAAATCTTTTAATATCTTTGTGGTTATAATAAATAATTTGGTAAAAAATTTGCATACCATTATTCTTATCACACGGTCGACATTTTTATCAAAATATTTTTCAACTTTATGTTTACCGCATGGTTAAAGAACGTGGTTCTCGTTTGTTAGGTTAACTTTAAGATAAACATACTTGGAAACTAAAGCATAAATTATTCGAACTATTTGCGATAAACTTGGAACGGAACACTTATTACTTCTTCATTTGTTATTGCTCCTACGAAGCTGAAACAAGTGCATTTTTTCAATTAGTGCATGAACAAAAGAAATCAACTTTATCGATGAATTGAAGCAACGTTTAATGAGTGAATTTATGATCATTTTCAGACTTCAACATGCCCCGTGTCAAATCTGGAGAAAAGAAAGGACCACGCATCGATGATGTCGTGACCCGCGAATACAGCGTCAACCTCCACAAGAGGTTGCACGGTGTAGGATTCAAGAAACGTGCCCCACGTGCGATCAAGGAATTGCGCCTGTTCGCCAAGAAGCAAATGGGAACAGATGATGTCAGAATCGACACCAGACTTAACAAAGCCCTCTGGAGCAAAGGCATCAGGTTAGATCTACATTTCTTATCATACGTCCTGATGTAACTGTCAAAATGATCAAGCAAGGCATCTCTTTTCCTAAGAAAATTTTGCTTGTTTAATTCAGTTGACAGAGAATTCATCAAATTATAAACTTCTAAACTCATTTACTTGTCCCTATAATTAATGAATATTATTGTTTTTCAGGAATGTACCTTTCCGCATCAGAGTACGTTTGAGCAGAAGACGTAATGACGATGAGGAAGCTCAAAACAAACTGTACACCCTGGTCTCATACATACCAGTTGCTAGCTTCAAAGGATTACAAACTGAAAATGTAGATGCCAGTCAAGATTAATTTAATACATAAATTATTTTTATTGATATCTAAAAACTGTTGTACTCATTTAACACATACCTTTTAATTTCATAAGTCTTTTATACTAAAATTTACTCATGTAAAATTAATGTTTGGATATCCAGTAACTAAATATCCTTGCAGTAGTAACTTAAGTTTTCAATTGGTATTTAAGAATACTTCATTTCTTATCATTAACTTTGATGGTCAAATAATACAGCAAAATTTATTTAAATTAAATTTCGGTTTGAAAGTGACTTCATTCCAGACCTCAATCTTTGCTTTATTTAGAATTGAATTAAGGAGATCTGTACTCCATACAAAATTTCAAATTTTCAAACAAGTTTTCCAAACTTTTACTGAATATTTCTCTAAAAGACTCTATGGGATCTTTTATTTTGATGTTCTTTAAGTTTTCTATAGAACCTTTTAAAGAAATATTCAGTAAAAGTTTGGAAAACTTGTCTAAAAATTGGAGTTTTGAACTAGGTTACGCATCTTAAAAAAAAATGCCCATGAAGCTTCATTTTAAACATTACAAAATTCTTGCGTTTTGCAAATGCTTGTGAGCTCAAAAATTTATTGCTTAAAAATTACTCAAAAATGGGCATGTTGATGCAAAAATTTGAAAACTTATTTTCCCATGCTACAAAAAAATACGAAACATAAAAGTCTTTTAAAAATTTTGGATTTAAGAAGTATCACAAAATAATTATAAAGTTTGAATGTCGGGGATGATAAGAGCTATCGTTCATCTAAATTCAATTAGATCATCACTATTTACGTCTACATGAAATTGAATTTTTTTCCAAACATTACAGAATATACAAAGAGCATAATTTTATTATCCTCTTTTATCGATCATAAATTCTCTCGAATATCCCAGAACTTTCAAACGAGCTGCATCGGATATGACGCAAAAATATAAATCTGTTACATGCACCGACAGGATTTAATCGCTATCGAGCCAATCACGGCTCACCACGCCGCGACGTGCGTGCCGCGAATGCTACGAAGGGAATCAACCAGTGTCCAGACCATGAGTCATATGTAGTTTACATTTGTACCGAGAGCTGCACTTTTACTCCGAAATTTTAATCGTATGCATCGTCATACGCGCGAGAGTTTTGTCTGCTACGTGCTCGAATGAGAAACAATGGGATTTGCGAATGCACTTAAGCTGTGCACTTTCGACCGGCCGTCGAAGCTTTCATTTATTTTTTCTTTTTTTTTTATTATTAATAAAACACGAAAATTCGATTCACGCTTTTCGTGACATGGAATATCGAATTGGCAATTATCGGGCCCATAAAAGCGCCTGTGTAAACAAGTCGAAACCCGAATACCTCTCGCGAAAACTCGCGCGGACCAATGGGAAGACACCGAGTAATCGCAGGCGCATACCGGGCAGCCATTGTTCTCGCATTGTTATAGAGCGGGCTACTGCTAGTGTACTACGCAGAGCAGCCGGTATATTGTAACCCGCAAACATGCTCGCGCGAATCTAGTCGTCAGTGACACGCGCGAGTCCGGCGATAGCAGACCTGCTCCGCTTTGCTCCGTTGTTTCGATAGATTTGTATGCATGCGCGATCGCCGCTGCGAGTGCCAGTGCACACACACGATCGCTGCTGCGCGACTGCACCACCAGCACCGATCGACAGGGAATCCCTGCTGCTGCTGCTGCTGCTGCTGCCTCGTTCGCCACCGACTTTTTTTCTCTCGCGGCTATTAATACGGCGGTGTGCAGCGAATAATTGACTGATCGTCGTCGGCCGAGGGTGTTTTTCTTGATTTTTTTTGGATTGTGGCGTTTCTCGAGACCGGTTGAGATCATCGTCGCCGCGCGATGGCCGAGAACATGGAAACCGATGCAGCGGCGACAGCTTCCAGCGAGATCCAAGCGAGGCCTTATCAAGTGGACCTGTTCGAGCGAGCCAAGAAGGGCAACAGCATACTCTACTTGCCCACCGGGTCCGGCAAAACTTACGTCGCTGTGATGTTGATTCGGAGTCTCAGCAATGATCTTTTAACGTTAGTGTTTATTTACATTTCCTTTAACGCGGCTATTCGAAAGATGACACTGATCGAGAGAGTCGAATGTAAATCCTTTGTTATTGTTATTTTTTTTTTTTTTTTTCATTCATCATTATCTTATCTTGTCGTCGCGTCTGTACTCATACATTAATAAATTATTACAAACTTTTTGAATAATTAGCTAGTTTTGTTTCCAAATGATGATGAGCCTTTACTGTAGATTGTTTTTTTATAACACTACATAAATTATCTTAAATTTGTAATATCTTTTTTCACAATAATCATTCTAATCAATTTTCAGGCCATTCGAAGAAGGTGGCAGAAGGACCATTTTTATCGTTAACACTGTAGAATTGGTGCATCAACAAAGTGCTTTTATTACACGTCATACAGGCCTAAATTGTAAAGGATACTCCGGTGATATGCGAGTAGATTTTTGGAATAATGAAGTATGGTTACATGAGATCGTTACGCATGAAGCAAGCATCATCATCATTTATAATTTACTTCCAATTGTCTAAATATCTAAATTAAATTATTATTGCATAGGTGCTAGTCATGACTGCACAAATTTTTTTGGACCTTCTAACCCATGGAGTAATAACACTGCAACAAGTAAATTTACTCATTTTTGACGAATGCCATCATGCTACTGGACACCATCCAATGAAACTAATCATGCAAGAATTTTTAAAATGTTCTCCAGATCATAAACCACATGTATTAGCAATGTCAGCTTCATTGTTAAATTCAAATGTTAACGCCATGCAAGTAGAACAATATATTAAAGTAAGTTCTTTTTGTAATCCTCTTATAATTTTAGTATTTTATGTTGAAATATATTATTGTGAGACAAAACACTATTATTATTTTCAGGATTTAGAAGCCACATTTCAGGCTAAAATAATCACAGTAGAAGACCGAAGTTGTGTGGCACAGCACTCTACTAAACCAATAGAAGATGTAAGGAATTTTGACATTCATATAAAATCAGATGAAGAGATAAAAGTTATTAACTTAGCTAATAAAGTAGCACGCACAATATCGCATGTTGACATTCCGTCTGTAAATGTTAATGCTGCAACTAGCAAATATTTTAGGCCAGATCCTAAACAAAAAAAGATGAAACGATTATTTGAAGATATTATTCATCACTTTGACGAAATGGGATTATTGGGAGGATCTAACTGCATATTGCAGCACTTGATTCAAACAGAAAGAATAAAAAGAATTACAGCTACTTCTCCAGTAAATATTCATGACAATTTACAAATTTTAAAAGAATACATTTTCTTTGAAAATTATGAGTTACTTAATATATTAAAATATTCTATTTAGGAATTAAAACTTTCTTTAGATTACGTGACAACCCAATTGATGAAGATGCAAAAATTAATGGCAAGTAAACTTGGAGATTTAGGGAAAACTCAGATAAATTTTAATGCAATAAAAGAGTAAGTCCAAAATTGAATGTTTTAATTTTTTTCTTTATAAAAATGTTTGATTTCGATAGATATTCATCGCCAAAAGTTATTAAATTATGTGAAATTTTACATGACCAATATATTCGAGATGGAGATAAGTTCTGTTGTATTATTTTTGTAAAACGTCGTTTCACCGCTGTCGTTTTATACCATATTTTAAATGTGAGTTTTTAATATTACATTTTAAAATATTATTTATTACATTTTAAAATAGTATTTATTAAAAGTATAATAATAAATTTACATTTAACCTTTTCAGAAATTAAGTTTATCTGATCAAGAGTTTAATTTTTTGAAACCAGATTATTTAGTAGGCAACAGTGGCGATCCTTACAAAAATGCAAAGGAACATTTAGTTAACAACAAAGTGAATAAAGATGTTTTAACAAAGTATAGTTTTTTATTTCCAATAGTTTTTTTTTTTTTTTTTTTTTTTTTTTTAATAAAAAATTCTCTAAATTGATGTCATATTTGTAGATTTAGAGCAGGAAAAACAAATTGCATCGTGGCTACCAGTGTTATTGATGAAGGCATTGATGTTCCAGCATGTTCACTTGTAATTAGATACTATGCTCCAATGGACTATCGTGAATATGTTCAAAGTAAAGGAAGAGCTAGACATAAAAAGGGTCGCTTTATTTCTCTTGCAGAGAGAGGCTTAAAGTATAAGGAACGATACGAAAATTTTCAAAAAACTGAAAAACTCATGGAACAGGTAACTCATATATGTTACAACTATGGCTTTAAAATTATACTGTAATTAATTGGAATTTTTTTCAGATCCTCTATGGATCCAACAACGATCGTCCAGAGCCAACAGAAGAGCAAATACATAAATGCTTTGAAAATATAATTGCACCTTACATAGTTAACACGAATGGAAGGATATGTAGTTTGACTGAAGATTCAGTGATAAGTTTAATCTATCGTTATTGTTCCGCTTTGCAGTCGGATCAATTTTCCACAATGCTTCCAACTTTTCAAGTACAAACCGTTCGTTCTGAACCTCCTAATGGTTTAAAATATAAGGTCATTTGATATTATCGGTAAAAAAAGTAAATGCTGATTATTTCTAAATCCATTTAATATCTTTTGTAGGTTCTAATAACTCTACCTCCTGCGTCAATTTTGAGGGATACTATAGTAGGCGAGGCAATGGATACAATAAAACTTGCTCAAAAATCAGCTGCCATGAAGACTTGTATAAAATTGTACGAAATTGGAGAATTTAATGATTATCTGTTGCCCAAAACACCAGCCGAAGTTTTAGATCAAAAGAACGTGAATATTTTATTTCCTCTATTTGAAACTGAGACTCCTAATGGTGCAGCTGGTACAAAAAATCGATTTAATTATCACGATTATGTTGTAAGTTTTTTTTGATTATTTAGATTTACTCTTAACTTATCAAGATTTAAACGAATACGTCTTTATATGTTATAGTACCCTGAAGCATTTACATCTTCCTTTCCGAAGCCAGATCAGCCATTATATTTGCATATCATCAACGTTATACCGAATTGTATTTCTTCGAAAAATAAAGCTGTCTTAAAATTTTTCGAAGTATTAGGTTCAAAAGAAAGATTAGCAATTTTGTCAAGGAAAAAAATGCCAGTTACACCAGATTTTCCTATTTTTATGAATTCACTTTTTAACGTGACGATTTCAATTGAGCCTAACATTCAAACTTCTCCTCTTTCTGACTCCGAAATTGATTCGTTAAAACAGTTTCATATTGTTATATTTAATGAGGTTTTAGAACTTGTAAAAAGTTTTATGATTTTTGATTACAATACAATTCAAAATAACTACTTGGTGGTTCCTGGTGAGTACTAATTACTAACACCATTTTGCAAATGTTAATATTCATATCAATATTATTCAATTTATGAATTATTTTCTAGTTGATGAAAATCAAAAAATTAATTGGAATGTTGTCCAAGAACATCGAAAATTAGACATAGTCTACCCTGACCACCCTATTCAAGTAAAAACATCAGATTATGAAAACAATTTTGTTAAGGTGATGTATAGAGACTCCAGCTATTACCTTGTGACAACTGTGTGCGAGTTTGATACTTGTAAATCAAGGTTCCCTTCAAACGAATTTGAAACATATGTAGAGTATTACCAAGGAAGACACAACATAACTATAAATAATCCTGATCAACCATTGATTTTAGTAAAAGCCATTCGGAAAACTTTGAACTATCTTAGACCAAGGTTGGTTATTTTGATTTTAATCATTATTTAAAGAAAACAAATAACTGTAAAATTGTTTCTTAGAGATGCGGGCGATGGAGTTTCCAACAAAAAATTAAGATACGAAGATTATGAAGAATATCTTGTTCCTGAGCTTTGCTGCAGAATGACTTTCCCTGGAGTGTATTGGTTGAAGGCCAATTTACTACCTACTGTATTATATAGATTATCGCAATTACTTGTTGCTGATGATTTTCGAATCAAAATTTTACAAGAAGCGAATATTGGTATCAAGCCGTGGGATCCAAACAGTAGACCACCACCATTACCTTTGAAAGTAAATAATGACGAAGAAGAGTCTGACAATTATAATAGCTCGGAGGAAAGCCTTGATGATACGATATCAGAAGAAGATGAAGAAAGTCAGAAATATAATCGTAAAGTGAAGATGACTGGAAGTGAATGGGCGGAAGAACAAAGAAAGCAGTTGGAAGATCGAGCCATTGAGAGTTATCATTTTCTAACGCCGGAATTGAATGGTAATTTTTACGTGATGTCAATAATTTTTACTAATTATAGCTAAAATATTATTTTTGTGTCACTTATTCAGATATAGCTAGTAGCAAATATGTGTGGAGATCACAAGAAGCCTCAGATATATTTAAGTATGCTGATGATCTCAAAGTAATCGATCTTGAAGATTATTGCAAGTTTATAAGTGTATCTACAAATGAAGATGAAGAAAATCTCGTAAGATCATAATTTTTAATAATATACAAATGAAACAACATGTTGTTTAATAGCTCAGTTTTATTTCAGAAAAATATGAATGCAAATAAAAGCAAATATAGAAAAGCTGATTCTGTACCTACTCCTCCTATAAAAATGTTTAAGGCAGATAATATTCATGGGCCGAGTTGTTTTGATATGTTACAAGTAAGAAAAAATATGTTCGAATTCTGTATAACTGATATACTTGGCCATTCAATTAATAATGATGATTAAATTTTGCAGGCACTAACATCAAAAGGCTGCATAGATTCCTTCGATTATGATCGAGTGGAAACTTTGGGCGATAGTTTATTAAAGTACATTTCAACTTTATTCCTTTATCACAATTTTCCTGCGCTAAACGAAGGAGAATTAACAATGATAAAATCTAAAATGGTCGGCAACCGTAATCTATATTATGCCGCTAAAGCAAAAAATTTACCGGGAAGAATGAACAATGAAGAGTTCAAAGTTAATTCACATTTTATTGCTCCTTCATTCAGGTGTGCCTTAGGAAAAGAAGTTATTGAGGCTAAAGTATGTTTAAAAACTTAACATCATACATTTCTTATAATTTTTATTAAAACGAAAATCTCTAATTCTAGAAATCGCATGGTGTCATTTACAATTTGGAGATTCCCGACGAAGAAAGATTTTCGGGTCAACTATCAGATGAAACGAAAATAACCATAACTAATCAACTCATGGATTACTTTGATGAAACTAATGAAGTAATCAAACCATCAGGACACGAGCAGTACTTCAATATACAAGTAATGGGTGACAAATTTGCGGCAGATTGCGTTGAAGCTCTAGTAGGTACTTACTTATTGGTACGTATAATAATTTATGGTAATTTTCAATCAAAATGATTATTTAAATTTCATCGTTAATCAACTTGAACTTTTTTCAGAGCAACGGTATTAAAGGATCTATTCAGATATTAAAGTGGTTTGAAGTATTACCGCCATCTCTGGACGTGGATCATATTTTGACTTGCAAACCAGAAAATCCCCTTTTAAGGGATGTTGATATCAGGCCATTCATGCCTTGGTCGAAACAAGTTGAAGAAAGAATCGGTTACAAATTTAAAAACCCAGCATTTCTTTTACAAGTAAGCTCATAATGTTTCATCATAATGATTTCTAAATGGGCAACTATTTTCACCAAAAAAATGTAAAACTCTTTCAACATCAATTTTAGGCTTGTACGCATCCTTCTTATGCCTCTCATTCAGCCACCAGAACTTACCAGAGGCTGGAATTCTTGGGTGATGCCGTTATAGGTAAATTGTTCATAATATAATAAAATAATGTAATCTATGGTAGTGATACTTCGATAAGTATCTAATCGATTCATTTGTACAGATTTTCTAATAACTGCTCATATATATGAAAAATCTCAAAGTCTTACACCTGGACAACTGACGGACCTGCGCATGGCGCTTGTCAACAATATAACTTTTGCTTGCCTAACCGTTCGTTACGGTTTACAAATTGCGTTGGAAATTGCACAGCCACAGTTATGGGAGGTAGTCGACAAATTTGTTAGGTTCCAAGATACACGCGATCATCGAGTCGACGACGAGGTACGTGAAATAATTTAACGAAGCATAGCAACTACTTGACATATCTGTTTCATTTAACTGAGAGAACGTTTATTATCTGTTCTTTTTTAATTTTCATCAGCTTTTGTGGTGTCTTCTTGAAGAAGACGATGTTCGCATGAGCGAATACGTGGACGTGCCCAAGTGTCTCGGTGACTTGTTCGAGTCGATGATCGGTGCGGTGTACTTGGATACCGGAAAAGATCTCGATGCTACGTGGACAGTGTTGTATAACTTGATGCACGCAGAAATTGCCAAATTCAGCAAAGAAGTACCCATGCACCCGATTCGTGTGATTCACGAGTACCCCAACATTTATCCGAAGTGGTCGTGAGTATTTCGCTTATCGAACCAAAAAAACTATTTCAAAGCATAATCGAATGTATTTAATTAATTATGTTTTTGTTTTTCTAGACGATCGGTCGCCAAAGATGATTCGTCAGTGGTAACGCTTACGATCATGGACAAGGGAAAACCGCAATTTTTCCACGGCGTTGGAAAAAATCAAAAATTCGCCAAAGCTGCCGCCGCCAAAATGGCGTTGAAATACTTAAAGACGCACGATATTATGAAGCGATGATTTCTACATGTTGAATTTTGTGCATGATGACTTATATACACGTTGAAGATCTCGATGATCGCAATTATTTGTATCTATATAATGTATGTAATTTACAATTTTGTTACAAATTGCAGATGCTTTTATACTTTTTAATGAAGTTACGAATTAAATTTTTATTCATAATATGAACGATGAAAGAAATTATCGAGGAATAAATTATTTCATCCACAAGTGACAATTCCTTCTCATCGTCCCTCGTTCGGAAGCGCCACCGTCGGCGCCTGTGCGACGGTTCACCGACCACCAGTCGAGCACTCGGCAATACAGCCTATAACGTCTTTTATTGCGTAGGGCGCGCGAACCTCGATTCGTTTGTTTCGCAGGTGTCCGCGGCCGCGAGTTGAAACGATACCGATAACCATCGTCTTTCGCACGCAAAGCACTCGTCGATCGTCATGTCCGGAAGAAAGAGAAAAGCCCTGAGAGAGACGGCCGCTGTAACCCTCAAAAAGAGACGCAAAGTGTTGTGGGACGAGCTGTGCCGAGAATGGAAACTCTCGGCCGCACAAAAACCGGACACGGACGCCGCGACGCTTCGAGCCCTGATAGGCGTCGGGGTCGGCGGCACCAAGGACGAGGACTGGCTGCTGGCCGAGTCCGCGAGACTGGGCAACGACGCGATGACTCGTCGTCTCCTCGCCGCCGGCGTCAAGGTCCGACCGTTCGAGCGCAATACCGGCGAGACGGCCATCCACATCGCGGCGGCTCGTAAGAAGTCCCTCGATCTGGCGCGCACCCTGTTCGATCATCGCGCGGACGAGACCGCGAATCACAAGGACAAGCACGGACTGACGCTGTTTCATCTGGCCTGCAAGCTGGGCCGCCGCGACGCGGTCGAAAAGTTCATCGACGAGGCGGGCGTCGATCCGAGCCTCGGCGGCAACAAGTCGCGCTCGAGCCCGGGCCCGCCGCTCCACATCGCCGTCGAGCACCAGCAGGCGGCCGTGGTGGAGCTGCTGCTGCGGCGAGGAGCCGATCCCAACGCGGTCGACGGCTGGGGCAGGACGGCTTTGTACAAGCTCGTCAACGCGATGACGGACGTCGAGAGATGGGGCCAGGGCGAGGAGATTCTTCGTCTTCTGCTCGAGCACGACTGCGACGTGAACGTGAAGGCGCGCGACGGCACCACGGCCATCACCGTGCTGCTGATGGGTCGCTGCCCGCGACAGCTGGAGATACTGGAGACGCTGTTGAGCGCGCGCGAGGTCGACCTGAACAGCCGCGACAAGCGGGGCAACGGCTACCTGCACAACGTCGTCCGGCCGGGATATCGGGTGGGTCCCCCGCGCCTCGATCGCGACATGGAGTACCGGCTGCCAATGATGAAGACGCTGCTCGAGCGAGGCGTCGATCCGCTCGCGAAAAACGACGCGGGAAAGAGCCCCCTGGACATGGCCGTGCTGGATCACAGGCGCGACATGGTGGAGATGATACTGGATCAGGAGGGCGTCGATCCGAGCCGAGCCAATATTCAGCTGAGGAACGGCTTCGGCTACTATCACTACGTGCTGGATTACGAGGGTACGCAGAGTCTGCTCTCGACGATCGAACTGCTGCAGCTCAGAGGCTACGCCATGAGCCCGGTCAACGAGCTCGAGCTGCTGAGGTTTTTCCTCGGTAGCAGGTACGATCCGACGATGCCGTTGGAGCACGTGTTGATATACGGTACGTATAAATGACATTGTGCTGAACGGAATCTTCAACAATATTAAAACCCTTGTATTTTCTTGAACAGCCAACGAATCGAGATGCCTCAGCTATTTAGAGGGCAGGGTACTCGTGTACAAAGACTTGGACGTGTGCACCTCGTACTTCATTCCCGTCTACACATACGCCATGCACGTGACCAAGGAAGCGAGGGACTTTTACGACCGCTACTTCCCGTTCTTCCCCACGCTGTCGTACGACGAGGGCAGAGACGTGCATGACGACTACGATCGCGACAGAATCCACGACGAGATAGATCTTCTGGCGAAGACGCGCATCGGCGACAAGCGCGTCACGCTGCTGAATCTGTGCAAGGCCGACCCCGTCAGGGCGTATCCCCTGCTGACGAACTCCAAGTACAGGGCCGTGGTCGAGTCGGAAAAATTCGAGAAGGACTTTCCCTACGTGGGCAAGATCGTGAAGGGATACATCGCCAAGAGTCTGATTTGGAGATACTGCAGGAGCGTGGGCATCAAGTACGTGCAGCGGTTGACGCGCGCGGACATGCCGGTGGTCTGTTGCGAGAAAATAATGAATTGCATGAAAGACGCCGATCTGTTGAACGTGTGCGAGGCAATTGTATCATGCACAGATCCGGACTGGAGCTCCATGATGTAATTGTGCACTATGTGAGCTCGTTCCACGAAAGATTATTTATTTTCGATTAGCACTTCAACATTGTCATTCTGTTATTAACGATGTTTTAATGTTTACTTTAAAAGATATGCATAAGTAGGATTAGGTGATTTGATTCAACTTATAAAAGATTATTTATATACCAATGTAACTTCAACATTTCTATTCTGTCATTAGCGATATTTCGATGTTCACTTTTGCAATGATATACGTAAGTAAGAAGATTTTGTGTGATCAAAAGACAATTTATTTCATACTTTATTGGGATATTTTACATTTAAAATTATATTCTACAATATTTACACGATTAAAATTATGTTTGTTTTTTTTATCGTTATGTACAGTTACATAAATATACTTTATGAGCATAAATATATTTAATGATTTGCTGTTGGCATAATTTAAGCTGAAGCTCTTCATCTCCATTATTTATTTAGTCCAACTGACTTTAGGTATGTCAAAGTGTTCCGTTAAGCTATCCAGGTGCCTATTAAATTCTTCCACTCTTTGTTTGTGTGGTTTTGCAGCTTTATTTTTTATACGCTCTGCTTGCTGTAATTAAAAGAAAAAAATAACAGTTAAAGATCTCTGCAAATCAAGTATTGTGTAAATTGTTACTTTAAAATTTGTACAAAAACTTACTGTTTTTTCTTTCATAGCTTGAAACGCCATTTCAGCCTTTGTCTTTTTTACTTGGGTAGTTTGAGGTACTTCTTCTTCAATGACTTTAGCAACTTCAACAAGCTGTTTTTCTTTCTTATGTTTCTTTTTTTTTCTGAAATGAACATGATTAATTTGGTAAGTACTTATGAATTAAACTCTTAGTAATATGAAAGTTTGTATGATCCATAACATAACCTCAAAATTTGAGTGTCAAAAATGAGGAAGAATGGTTTATTAGAATCGATTGAATACAATTTGTCGAATGAAAAAAGTTTCCTGAACTTTTGAGACACTTACTTTTTTCCAGAAGATTCGACTCCTTTCAACTTCAAAGGACCTTTGGCAACATGCGCATAAGGATCATCTGCGTTATCCATGATCAAACCTAATTTACTTTCAGCGGTTAACAAAGTTGCTTATTAACTGTTCAAGTGTTGATTATACCAGTCGATGTAACTGCAACACTTGGAATTTACTGCACAACTTATAAGCAGAGTTATGGTACACTGTAAGCAATAACAAGCAACTGAGCGTCGTCAGCTATACACGCAGAACGCGATAACTGTCGTCTTTTCCCAAGCCAGAATTGACGCCTGCGGCTTGACAGCTATAAGTAAAATAGTGGGGAGTGTAAAGAGTCAAACCACGTAAAGAACGCGCGAAATGACGCGTCTGAAATAACTGTTCTCGTCTCGCTGTATTTTACAGCTCAATATTGACATATTCATAATATAGAAGTAACAAAATTTAACAGGAAAACTCATTCGAAAATTGCATGAACATTACCAAAACTTATATAAAAAACTAGTCCATCGGTCAATAACTTATTTAACAACTTTCAGAATAATCGTGAATAACTTCATATTATAATTTGATTTTACATATTTTATTTTAAAATATTGATATTCATATTTTAGATCACCTCTACAAAGATACTTGATAATGTATTCAGATTCATTTTACATTATATTATGAATTATATATCTTAAGAAATAATTCAACGGAAAAATTCCATAAGTTTGTACAAAATACAGTATGAATATTAAAACTATAATAATAGACATAACTTGTCAGTTATCAAATTTAATATTCACATTAATTACATACATAATTTGATGACAGTGACCGTTTTGAGTACTTATAATAAACAAATAGACTATTAAATATTTATATGACTATTTACAAGAATTATTGACATTTATAAATAATTATGTAATTTTTAATCTAATTTTCTTTTCGTCGTTTTAAAGATGGTTTTTCAAATATTTGCTTAACACCAGCTGCTAAATTGTTGTGGAATTTTAAATTTTGGGCTGTTTCAGAGATCCACGGTGAATCAAATTGTGTCGTGTCTTGATCTACCAAATGTGTGTATTTAGTTCTACCACTACGGCCAAAGTTCTTCACCTGCATAACTTTAGGTAGAACTGTTTTGTCAAAGTGATCTTCCAACGTGGCTCCTGAGAAATCACGTTTGAATACAGTTTCATCCTTATCCAGATAAAAGACTCCACGATGATAATACTTCTGCAAGAACTTGTATTTTCCCTTGGCTGCTTTATTAGTAACAACTTTAGGATTCAATCTAGCTTCTTGGCGTCTTTCTTCCTCTGTCATGTTTCGCAACCTCTCTATTTCTTGTCTTTCTTTTTGATATCTTTAAAAAAAAAAATAGTTCGTTAGTTATAAACTTGTTTGACTAATATTAAATTTTTATGATCAAAGTTGTATTATATTTTCTTCATATACTTACGCTTCACGTTCCTCACGATCTCTTTTGTTACGTTTTAATTCACGAAGCTTCCAAGCTTCATAGGCTTGTTCATCATTTTCGTCATCTGTGTTAACATCATTGATATTACCTTCGGCTTCGTAAGTATTTGATCTCATTTGTGTCTCTTGTTTAATGGAGTCTTCAACCATCTGCCAGGTTTGTTTTTTCCTCTCATCAGCCAATTTTTTACTTTCAATTTCCATTTGTCTTTGTTTTATTGCCTCTTTTTCTTTTTCCATAACAGTAATTCTGTCTCTTTTCCTGACAAATACAGGCTTGAGCCTAGTACCAGCTTCTTCTTCAGAATCAGTATATTCTTCATATTCAGAACCAGATTCAGAGCTTTCACCTGATTTTTCTTCTTCGATGTCTTCTTTCAAAAGTTCTTCTTCTACGGCAGCCTTGGACAGAACTTTAGCTTTCAAAGCTTCTCTTCTTCTTTCAATTTCATCGTCAGATAGATCTTCTTCGTCTGAAGACTCAGAGCTGTCTAGCTTGATTCGTTCTTTAGCTGTCTGAATCTGTTGTTCTTCAATGTAAACTTCTGGTTCTTCGATATACCTCCTACGCTCATGGCGCTCGACTTCCAATTCCTCCCTGTTTCTGTCGATTCTCGTCAATCGTCTCAAACGAGGATCATCAGTATCTCTTGAGTGGACTTCTTCCAATTCCTGGTCGGAAAAGTCTTGTTCCTTCTCCACGGGATGGCGTTTCTCCAAAAAGTCATCTTCGTCAGACTCTTCGTCGGAGCTGCTTCGAGCATACTCGGGCCTTTTACCAGATACGTATCGGTGCACTTTAACTTTTTTCATAGACACCTCACCCTTATCATTTCTGACCGGGACTGCCCCGGCCGTACTCTGAATACCCGAAGGTGCTGGCACCAAGGCCGTGTTGGCCACAAAGTAATCCATGATCGAATGAAGAACTTGTACGTAAAAACGTAAAACTGATATGGAATCCTAATTTACACAATGTTGTAGCAAACAAACATCAGAAAGGTTAAGTTAGTTGATACTGCTTGACATGAACTGAGTGTGTTTATAATTGTGGTCGAACTGCGAACCATGCGTGACTGTCTAGTGACGACTTACATTATACTGCTAACTGCACACTTGAACCAAAACATTAAATTGAGCACTATTTTCAATAACATCTTATTCTCCTTTCTCTTCTGTAAATTCTAATTGCGAATAAAAGATAGCTCAAGTGTGGAGATTTCAAAAATTCACATTTTTATACACTTTTTATGGGAGTGGAAAAAAATAATCAAGTTTACAATCTAGAATTTTAAAGAAAAAATTAATGGTTCAGTGAAAGATCTTTCTTACTCATTTTATTGTGTAAAATCATTAGTATCCGTGGCCCAAGAGACAAATTAAATTTGATATACTTGAGTTCAGGGTTTTTTATTTTAGTACATTGTCCTCATTAAAGCTTACAACATCTCTTGTTTCAAATTTACTGATACTTATTACATAAGCAAGGTGGGATACATAAATCAGAAGTCATTAGAAAGTTAAATAATAATACTGTCTTGAAACTATGATAAGTACAATCAAAATTTTAAAAAATCCTTCACCGTACTTGACTTAAGGAGGCTGTAGCGACATTGAAAAAATCTTTAGACAAGAGTGAAATTTTAACCACTGAAATAATTATTAAATGTGAAGAAAATTGGTAATGAATGAACCAAAAAAGGTTTTATTTATCAGAACTGATCAAGACATTTATAACAAGAAACAGCTGGTAATTAATTATAGCTTTCTCATCAAATAAGAATTAATATATTTGCATCTAAACTTCCAATAAAAATTTTATTGAATTTTATTGAATTTCTTTATTTTGTCAAGGAATGTTGATTAAATTTTGAAATTCAATCGCATTTAAAATTTTCCACTATTTTAACTTTTTCTAATCAGCTGTAAAACATCCTTCTCCTTTTGAACATAAAAATATTATAAATCCAAAATATCTTGGAAGTGTTTTTCATGCCAATGTTCTGACTCATTCAATGGTTTTGAAAAATGCAAAAATGCTTCAATAAATTATGTGGTAGAAAAATTTTTTTTATTGAAAAAATAAAAAAATATGTATATTTCTCTGTGAATAAATAGAGTATCCAAAATATTCACAAGTATGCTATAACATCTAATGACGATCTCATTTCTTTTTAATAAAAATTATTCAAACTACTGCTGATATAGCCAATTGAAGGAATTAATATTACTAACGACGAGAGTTACAAGTAAAAAAATAAGACAGTAAGACATTTAATAAAAAATACACTACAAATAGCATGATGATGGTGGTGAACTGGTCAGTGGGCAATTGAGTCGAAGTTCCTTGCGACACCTGTGTTCAAAAACATGTCAAGTTATAAAATATAACAATTAACCATGTATTTTTTGTTTGTTTAATCGTTGAAACCCATCGTAGCCGTTCGTTCATTATAATCAATTGGTAGTACTCACTACAATGTCTCAATTGAGTTTGTAACTCTGGAATACTTACCTTTTTCCAGTCAGATGATTCAACTCGTGATCGAATCATTCAAGAACGCGTCCATAAAAATCTGCGTGATCCTCGATTGACGTAGTTTACTACGAGGTTACCAACGTTGCATACCTATTGTTCATTAATTAGTAATTGATACAATTCATATTGACCTCACAAATTATAAACTATACTATAGAAGTACACTGCATGCAGTAATAAGTGCCCTCCTCGTTGTTATGCTGTTGTTATCCGCACCTTTACAATAAATGTTTGGGTATCATAATATTAAAATATTAAAGTTCTATGAAAATATAATGAAAACAAAGTACAAGATTAAACAGAAAAATTCATTCAAGACGTTATTGACTTGAGGAGATCTGGACCCCACATTTTTATCGACCGAGACACGCAAAGTTTCTTTTATTTTTAACTTTTTCTGTGATTCGAATTTCGACAAATGGCTCTATGGTGACCTTCATTTTGTCTCTAAGAATAAGTAGTTAAAATTACAGCCCATTCTATTGAGCAGATTTTCCGGAAAACTGGATTAAAATTTTTGATCCTGACTTTTGATCCATGGCTTGATCAAAATTTTCAATCCAGTTTTCCGGAAAATCTGCTCAATAGAATGGGCTGTAATTTTAACTACTTATTCTTAGAGACAAAATGAAGGTCACCATAGAGCCATTTGTCGAGATTCGAATTACAGAAAAAGTTAATTATAAAAGAAACTTTGCGTGTCTCGGCCGATAAAAACGTGGGGTCCAGATCTCCTTAACCCATTAGCGCCCAGCCGGACACTTTTTTCAACTGAACTTTAGGCAAAAATCTTTACTATTCAGAATTTTGCTAAAAATTAACGAGTTCATGTATCTAACGGGAAATTTAATGCCCTTTTCGAATATGGCTTCAAAATTAATCTTAAAATTATTGTTCAAAAGTTATAAACAATTGAACAAAAAAAAACACGAATTTAAAAAAAAAAAATTGTCTTCAACTCGAATTTTAAAACAGAAACAGGCTTGATACTTAGGTCCCGAGCACATTAAAGGTGTCCATGGGATGTAAACTGAAAATCCCAATATCCATAATATCGGAATTGGACATTTTTCATAAAAAAATGGCGCTTCGTAGAAAAAAGACCGTATATGAGCTAAACCAATTTTTTTACATGACAAGGATGCATTTAGGAAAAAAAGTTATATTGTAAAAGTTCTTAGAATTGTTCAAAGAACAACCCTGAATTTTTTCAGAATTTTTGGTGAAAATTTTTGAATTTTCGGAAAATGATGAAATCCAAAAAATCCAAAATTATTCGAAAAATTCAAAAATTTTCACCAAAAATTCTGAAAAAATTCAGGGTTGTTCTTTGAACAATTCTAAGAACTTTTACAATATAACTTTTTTTCCTAAATGCATCCTTGTCATGTAAAAAAATTGGTTTAGCTCATATACGGTCTTTTTTCTACGAAGCGCCATTTTTTTATGAAAAATGTCCAATTCCGATATTATGGATATTGGGATTTTCAGTTTACATCCCATGGACACCTTTAATGTGCTCGGGACCTAAGTATCAAGCCTGTTTCTGTTTTAAAATTCGAGTTGAAGACAATTTTTTTTTTTTCAATTCGTGTTTTTTTTTGTTCAATTGTTTATAACTTTTGAACAATAATTTTAAGATTAATTTTGAAGCCATATTCGAAAAGGGCATTAAATTTCCCGTTAGATACATGAACTCATTAATTTTTAGCAAAATTCTGAATAGTAAAGATTTTCGCCTAAAGTTCAGTTGAAAAAAGTGTCCGGCTGGGCGCTAATGGGTTAAGGAGGTCTGTAATCCACATTTTTAACCTACATAATCGAAAAATTTGTTTAATTAATATCTTTTTTTCCAAATCGAAAATTGAAAAATGGCTCTATGGGAACCTTCATTTTATTGCTATGAATAGCTGGTAAAAATTTGAGTTAATTCCACCGACCACATTTCCCGGAAAACGTGTTTGAAATTTTCACACGTTTCCTCAGCTTGAAATTTTCAAACACGTTTTCCGGGAAATCTGGTCAGTGGAATTAACTCAAATTTTTACCAGCTATTCATAGCAATAAAATGAAGGTTCCCATAGAGCCGTTTTTCGATTTTCGATTTAGAAAAAAAGATATAGATCAAACAAATTTTTCGACTCTATGAGGTACAGAACACCTTAATTGTAGGTAGTCAAGAGAAAAAAATAAAACACAATAACAAAAACTTTTTGAGTTACAGAAACTATTTTTCTATAGTAATTACAAAAAGTAAAAAGGATAACATTTTCAACATTCATATTCTTGCATTGATCTTTTTTGAAAGGGTTATCGTTCGGATACTTAAGACACTACAAGACGATTTTCTTATAATTTTATATTTTATTTGTAAAAAATTTGTCACTATCGAATAAGGAGGTAGAAATGATAAAAGATACATTTTTAATCATATTTCAAATTTCACGGTGTTTCCCTGTTCTTTGCAGTAAGCTGAAAGAAAACAATATGGCGCTATGCACTGTGTATACCTATAGCTAGTAAAGACTGTCCCCTCCACTACGTTCGGACGGTAGCTCCTCGATGTGCTCAGCATTCGTATATTAGTAAGTGACTGGCTCAGTTAGCCTTAGTACCGTCTCGCCTTTGGATATAGACAGACGTTATTTATCATCGACTGTGCTTCGTTCAGCCATTGTGATTTGTGTTACCACGCGTTTTTCTGCTGAGAGATAAAATACCATAAACTTTATAACATGTCTTTCATGTTACAACATCTTAAGAAGGCTCGGCAAGTAGACGAGGCGATTCTTTCGGAAGAGGATCGAATGGTTGTTATAAGATTTGGCCGCGATTCGGATCCCGAGTGCATGAAAATGGACGAAGTTCTATATAATATTGCAGAAGAGGTTCAAAACTTTGCTGTAATTTATCTAGTTGATCTAGATAAAGTGCGTGATTTTACACACATGTACGATTTTGACGACCCATGCACGCTCATGTGCTTCTTCAGGAATCGACACATAATGATAGATCTGGGAACAGACGACAATAATCAATATAATTGGGCCCAGGGAGACGAGCAAGAGATTATCGACATTCTGGAAACAGTGTGCAAACGTGCGAGAAAAGATCCAGGCTTGGTTGTATCGCCTAAAGGTTATTCAACCTCGTGCAGATACACATTTATGTTCACCTATACGAAGAAAGCCTGAGAGAGCACGTGCGGGATAACATAACCTCACTTGATTGGTTCAAGTGAAGATTATAAGGGCTACCATTTAAATATTCATATCAACTCAATGGTGCAGGGTTGATCGTAATGTATGAGAAAAGATACGAATAAAAGTGTGTTAATGAGGAAATAATGTGTATCTATACATATCAAGTCAACACTGAACAAATTCAATAAGAGAAGCTCCTTACTCCGGCTGCTGGAGCCGATCTTTCATGATCCAATTGATGAAGGTCAACCAAAGAAGAATAGAAAAACAAAGACTGCCCATCTTATTAAAATACAGCATCTGCAGGCTCTCAGAAAGAGTATTAAATGTTCGGTCAATAAGCTGACACATAAATTATTTACTCGATAACGAGTCATGTAAGGAGAATTTCTGCCCAACTATGCTCCCTTTAGTTAGTGCAACAAAAAAAAACTGTAAAAATGATAAAAATTGTACAAATAAACAGTCTATTATATTTTATTGAAAATAAATGGATTTTTTTTATCCTTATTCCCCTAACACAGAGCATTGATTTTTTTTTTCTCCACAACGCGGTGGCTTCCATTTCGGACCTGTTGTGGACGGTGGCAGAACGGTAGCCGCAGTTGATTACAAAGTCTATGAGGCATTTGCAACGATCGGAGTTAAAGTCTTCCCGACTTTTATGACATACTATCGGATGCTATTTTTTTTTACCGAAAATTTTTGAAAGTTCTGGATGTCTGTTAAAATTCCAATTCTTCATTACAGGATAAAGTACTCGATCAAAATAACCAAATCTCCTTCCTTTAGCATTTGACCACGGGACGCGTTTTCCAATCATCTCCAATGCATTAAATTTTTCGTCGAAAGTTGCGTACTTGTGCCACGTCATTTTTTTTTTTAATCCCACGGAATGTTTCATGCACACTATGCACACACACACTATTAGAGTTTTTTTTGATACTGCACGTGTTGACATTCGTAGACTAACTGATACTCATAATGGGACTCACGAGCATGAAACATGGAGCCTCACATGAAAAAGCGCCGAGAAAAGCGCAGATGCGGAAAACGCGCAGATGGAGAAAATACGAGCGGGAAATTTAAATTTGTGTAAATAGATAATTTAAAATATTCATTTCAATACTTTTTTCGCACTTATTGAATTGAAAATAAATACGCTGACTCAATATAAGAGAGATATAATCATATTAATTATTAAGCTATGATTTTGGACCCAATAATGTAAGCCCTCACACAGCGTATGGTCACTGTGTGCACACGTGTATACATATATGTTTTCATTATGCCTGTTCGCTTATATTTTTACATAATTATCGGTTGTTTATTCTAAAAAATTTCTTATGCGGTCTCAGCAGATATGCGGTAACGTTACTATTCAAAAAAATCCCGCTCTAGCAGAAAGCACGAATCAGCTCTTTAATATATTATGCATCAAAACAAAGTTCAAGAGTTAGTCGAATTTTACGTGTCAGACCTCACATGTTACCTATAAATAGTTTGTGCTAATAAACATTAAGCTGTGATAAATTTTATTATATTATGTTACTAAATTCTAAAAAATACCAATATGCTGCTAAAAATTATAGTATCAACTAATTTTAAAACAAGATTTGTCGCGAAATGTGTTTTGTGTCGATGCCTAACCACAACGGGCTATCCGCCAGACTCATTTCAATTTCGGATTTTAAATTATTTCGAAAATTCATTGGCATCAAGAAAATCTATTCAAAATCAAGAAATTTCAACCCAAGTTAAATATGCTTTACCAGAAAATTTTAAAATAAAACAGCAATTTGATCAACTGCTGCAGGATATTGATTCTCTGTCAAAGTTGACAGATAAACAAATTAAAGAAAAAATACTTGGTGAAATTGATCCAAAGTGGTCGCCAATGGTACAGTCATTACCACACATGAATATTTTCAATTTACTCATTGATATTTTAAAAACATCACCACATATTCAAAGCAGTTTTGTATCAACACAGCTATACAAAAATTCATTAGACACACTAATGAATGCCGTCGAGAGTGACCTACTTGATCACAGTGAGCTCGTGCAGCTTCTATTTTTTATCTCTTTACAAAATGATGAAAGCTCTAGCTATATCAACTACTTAAAGTCTTTTTTACCAGATCTAAATGAGCTTGATTTGATGGATAAATGTATAATTTCACAAGCTTTTTATAGGTGCTCAAAAAAACTATCAAGTTCTCAATCTAGAATTTTAGAAAAAATAATTGAAGAAAAAAGTGATGATTTGATAAAAGATCCATTATTGCTTGTTTGTTTGTGTAAAATTATCAGAATTAGTGGCCCAAGTGACAAATTAAATTTGAAAAATTTGAGTTCAGCCATTCTTAATTTAGATAGGCCTCTAACATTTACAACGTCTTGCCATATTTTAAGTTTGTATGCACAAGCTTTGATGCATGAACCACAAGTCACTGAAAAATTAATCGATAATGCTGTAGAAGAACTAAAACTTGATGCTTTTCAACATCGTTTGAGAATTAAAGATTTTGATAGATTTTTGTGGAGTATAAGCTACTTGGGTGTGAATTTAAATGAAAATAAAAAAATTTTACTGAGAACTTATCTAAAACAAAGATCATTAGAGTATAAGCGGAAAGAGAACTTGGGACTTTATGTAAATAGTACATTATGTTTACATTTATTAGGGTCATGGAGTAAAAATGTGAGAACAAATTTTTTGTTTAGACATTAACAGTAATGTAATTCTTGTTTATAATAATTATCATTTCAGTTGCTGATAAAATCTTTTGATAAAGATTTATTCAAGCCAATATTTGAAGAGAAGTTTCACTGGAAAGTTAGATCTCGTTTTCAGCTTCTCATAACTCAAATTCAAATCGAACTCGGTTTGGATGTGCCAGAAGAAATCAGACAACGAATCAAAATTGAATTTACTCCATCTGAAGAATTATTGAAAATAAAAGATATTGGCAAAGAATTAACAAAAAAAGGTCTTATCAGAAGAGTTGCAATAGAATGCCCTATCAATACTTTGAATATTCCAGGATTGACCTTTACAACAAAAAACAGGTAATTAATCATGATCTTTTTCATTAAATGAGCATTAAAATATTGACATTAAAAAAAAACAGCATAAGTCAATTTTTGAATTTCTTTTTCTTTCATAAAATGTTGAGTAGATTTTAGAATTAACACGAAATTTTCTTACTATGAAGTTTAATGTATCTTGTGAGTTGTTAAATATCAAGTATACTTCTTTTAAATGAAATTGTTATAAATGCAAATAATGTTAACAGTGTCTACCATGCTGATATTCTGAATAATTCAACATGCTTGAGAAACACGAATATACCTCATGGACTAATGCAATTAAAGATTCGTCTGATGAAAAAAATTGGAAAATATAAGCATTTTTATGTGAGTAAATAGTGTATTTAACATGCTCATAAGTATGCTAACATATAATATTGACATTGACAAAATATTTCAGATTACTGCTGATGATATTTCACAGGGATCTGATAGAATACAAACTGTTATTGAAGAAAATATTTTTAACAATCTCAAAGATAATGAATCAACAGATTTTAATGAAACTGAGAAAGTTTTTATAAGTTGAAACATTAAAATAGTGTATATACTCTGTGTAAATAAATCGTAATGCTTAAGAAAAGATCAGTTTAACATTTATTGAAAACTATTTTTTATAAATTTAATAAAAAATGAATTAGGAAACATTATTACATTATTTCTTTACAGTATTTGCAACATCTATAATACATAAATTATTTTAACTATTACATCATTTGATATACAATGAACCATCAGCGGGTCCTAAATATCTCATGGATATTAGCATAACATCTATTAATGTCCACACTCCAAGACCACCAAAACTAAAGAGTTTACCAATACCCTCTTGCCAATGTCCCAAATAAAATCTAATGTAGAGAAAAATTTGTATCATTTTAAATTTTCGTGATGAATCATTAAAAAAGTATCAAATATATTTTACCTGTCAGCACCAAAACCGCCCAGCGTTATACTCAATATAAGAGCTGTGGACCATCTGTATCCACTAGTCCAATTACAAGGTAGATTTTTGTTAAATATTCTGTTGCCCAAACATAATATATTACCATATACTGTACAATTGGAACTGTTGGAATAGATGATTAATAATGAAATTTTAATATGTAGCAAGAAACAATTGAAAAAATAAATGTTTACTCACCGGTAATACTGTTTTGGCGAAGCAACAGAATTGCAAGCATTTTTTTTCAAACATTTATGTTCTGAAGGTTCGGTCTGATAGCAATATCGACAAATATACGTTTTTGTGAAATTCTTATTACCCTGTTGACCGATGAGACAATATCAATCAAAAATACATTTCGTAAACCAATTCGAATGAAACTGTTTACAGGATATATACTAACCACACAGTCGACCTGTTCCCTCACTGAACAATTGGTGGTGTAGGTCGCACCGTAGATGCAGTCTTCCTTCATAGGACAAATCAGACAGTCCACGTGAAGTTCGGAGCACTGCTTGTCGACGGGACATACCACAGCCGTGGAGTCGCTCTAAAAGAAGCAAGTCAATCGAAGAAATTAGTATCGTTGCCGATCGTTGGAGGGTCGCGTGTAAACACACAAAACAAAAACAAAACAAAAACACTACAAATATGAGGATGACTGGTGATGGACTGGTGCTCGGTAATATACCAACCCAATTGTGCTCGAACGCCGACGTCGTGTTCGAGCCGAAGTTCGTCTGGGAACCTGTGGCAACAGAAAGAAAAAGTCAAAAATTTACACGGTCGAGCATGACCACAAAACTTTGTTGTTGTCGTCGTCATCGTCGTTTACTGCGTTCGTTGCACTGGAGAGACACGGGTAGTGCCTATATACTCACTGCCATGTCCCAGTTGTGCTTGCTTCACCGACGTCGACAGTATTGCCATCAGTATGAAGAAGACATTTTTCGAGTTGATGCGGACGACGTTCATGCCGAGCTCTGTAATTCGCAGCAACAACGATGACAACGAGGCGAGTTCAAACGAGCTGTCGTGCGTAGCACATTGTAAACACTCATCGTGTTTTGCTTCGAGACATGAATTGGGCACTGTACTGACACATACAGCTGCGCCGTGTATATATATGAACCGAAGAGGCTCGAGATGGGCGACTGCCGCGCACGCAGTGTCTATATCGCCTGCGGAATTGTAATGATAATAACGTTTGCCTGCGCACCGATACTCCGCCGCGCGGTCGGTAATCGAGAAATCTCGTGGATATGATAATGTCGTCCCGTACCGTTCGATGATAATTGTGCAACAGTTTTTTAAGTAATTTCCACGAACGAAAAATAATTTTTGTTAGTTACATATTTCTCCTTGTCGTATGTCATTTGGTTTTTCTTTCGATTACTTTTTTTACGTGTATTGGTGAAAGAAGTCAGACACCTGCAGATGATACACAATATACTCACTGAATGTTATTCACAGATGGAACCAGTTCGTCATCCTGAACCTCGAGACATTTAATTATCCTAAAGAGATTTAAAAATGAAAATAATAATTGTTTGAAATTTCGCATTTATTAGCTCCATCCTCGTGCCTTGTACTCGTAAATCTTTACAATTCAAAAAATTGTCCACCGTATTAAAAGTCAAATTCATTTCAATTCCAGCCGGAAAACTAGGCAGTCGCTCGATAAAAATTCAACAGAATAACCTCGCCTCATCGTGGACGAACGAGCAACAGCCGCACTTTAACTCGAAGGATAATACGGTATAGAAGTGTAAAAGCAGGATGAGAAAAAAGCCTACACTCGAGATCGGTATACACCGCCGAGTAAGTTTTTTTTTCCAGTCTCGGCGTATAAAGTGCGCGGAAGGTTTCAAAAGAGAAAGCGGATTACGCGCGGAGAGCGAGTTAGTATAGGAAGACGCAGCAGCTGATTCCGCAAATGAAGAGAAAGAAAAAAGTAGTCGAGGATTAGTAGGGGGCTTTCCAGATGCCGGTGAGCTTTTTTTTTAGCTACAAAAGAAACTTTCGAGAAAAGGTTTATGCATTTTAAAATTCTGCGACTAAATTATTATTTCGTCGAGTGCGAAACTTCAAGTTATCGATGCATTATTTTACAGTCGAGCTCGGCGGGTAGATTCGATCGAGCCGCGATAACAACCAATAAAGCAGGAGCGTCTCTCGGAGAAAAGCTCCTCGGCACGGGGCTCGGAAACCAGAGCGCAGCATCATTGGATTACACCGCGCCCGGCGGAGCTTAATTTCCGTCATCGCGGGCTTCCGCAGCGGCACCGCAGAGCTTCTCTCTTCCTCTCTCGCTTATGGTCCTTCGCTGCAGTTTTGTCGCGCTCGTCCGCATCTCGAAATCGCGTAGGAAGATTCTCTCTACTTATTACTTTTGCGAATCCTCGTAGTCTTTCCTATTTTATTAATTTTATTCGCTTTTTATTCGCAGCTGCTCCTATACCCGACAGCATACCGACGTATACACGAGCGAAACAGTAATAGAGCGAGCGAGAGAAGAAACTGTTTGCATATCATTATGCACGCTCTGCGACGGGCTGCTCTCTCTCTCTCTCTCTCGTATACAAATGTACGAATGGAGATTAGCGTGATTTTTGCATAATGAGAGAACCGTGCGGCAGCTTGGCACACGGGCGCGCGACGTTATAACTGCGACGCTTGCATTTTGCCGCCGCCGCCGCTGCGCGACACGTATTTAAGCGCGAGTAAAGCACCGAGAGACGCGTTACGCGCGTATAATATCTAGCTATAGGCGTGTGTACACTTGTACGTGTGTGTATAAGTACGCGCCCGGCACGAGATCGTGTCTTTTCGGAGCTTTGCTGCACCACCGACTGCACCAGCGCGCGCGACTCTTCGCAGAGATCCTGTAATTCCATTTAACTCCGTTATATAAACTGCGCGATGTGTTTGCGATACGCTCGGGCGCATAATTTGGCGCCTCGTTATAATTGTATGTATATAATAGGGATCGAGAAAAGTTCCGGCGGTGCACGGCTGGCAAAATTAAGAGCCGTGCGATTGCTGCGCCGTTGCATCAGTAGTGTGTTTACGTAAGGATTGCGGGGGGCGTGCGCGTGCCCTCGCGGATTCGCGATGTTGGCATTTTTATAACGTTGACATTTGTATTCGCTCGAGGCAAAAAAAAAATATGAATCAAGTTTCGGGATCATCTAGAATTACGCCGCGCATTCGTTCGTAATTAAAACGTTAGTTAGTCTCGGATAACTCTCCCTTTTTTTTTTAGAAATTTCCGAACGATATCCTCTTTGTGTAGTTTCGAAGTTTTTCTTTTTTTTTTTTTTTCATCGAACGTCGAAAGCTCGATATCCACACACAGGCAGGTCGCTGGAAAATATGACAATGCACGCGCGATTGTCGAAAAGCTCCGTGTACACACACGCGCACACATATATATAGCTCCTGACAATTGAGCGACAGCGAAAAGAGAATTTTCGCGAGAGTAATAAAAGGAGCAAACTGCGCGCGTACAGGTAGCGGCGTGGGTCGAAGGGTACGTAATGAAAAAAAAAAGAAAAAAAGAAAAAAAACTGGCATGGAACGTGTGTGTATATGTCTATCGGATATATACGTAAGCTTTGTACAGCTGTATATACGACCTAATTTGCGCCGGGTCTCGTCGTTCCCAATGAATTGTGAGCGAGAGAGTGAGAGGGAAGGAGGGAGCACACGTGTGAAACGTTATAGCGTAGTAGTATACCTATATATAGGTAGGTACGCGCGCACAGTTGAAATGACTGCTAATTGGATGTGAAAATAATAAAGCAAATATGGCTCGGGCTTGCTGCCGCTGTACCATACGTGGATCGTAGTACACACACACCTTCGTTTTATTCACGGGGTACGTCGCAAATATACCTTATAGCGAGAAGCGTCGACGCTCCAAAAGCACATACGTATACATGTACGGGGGTGTTATATGTTTTTTTGTTCGGCTTTTTGTTTCGCTCTCTCATCTCGAGTCGCTCGCGCGCACCTTTCAACCTCGATAATTGGGTGCAATAAGCGTTTGACTCTCTCGAATGTACATTTCCAGCTCGACGCACTCGGCACGGCGCAGGGAAAGCTTCGGAAACGATTTTTTCCTTTTTTCCCCGAGCGTATATATACGAGTGCCGTCGAATACATATACGCAAGAGAGAAATTTTGCGACGTCGAGGCACATTTTTTCGGGCTCGTTCGTGGCGGTCATGGGCTCGCGCGCACACACACGCGTCATTAAAGCGAGCGATTTCGGGGAATGCGCGTCAACAACGAACGATATGACGCGCGGTTTCGTTCGTCAATTATATACGCAGCTGAAGCGTAATGCAACGTATATATGGATGCATAGAAATGTAACGCGCGCTTGCGATATGACTGCACGCTAAAATAATCGCGCACTCGTGACGGAAGAGAAATTATATTAGTTTGTATTTATTCTCGCTGATGCGAGAATTAGAGATATACCGATATAATTATCTCTAGGTGGCCGTGAAAGTGATTAGTTCGCAACAACGAACCCGATCTCTTGATGCTATTGGATTACTCTGCGAGTGAAATTATATTAACTATCTCGTCCTTTAAATTTAAAAATAATAACATTGAATTAGCTTTGAATGACAATCAAAAGCTACATAAATATCAGATATGTTTTGACGCATCGTGTAAGCCTCCCATTCGTTACTATTCAAATTGAATGAACTAACGAGGTAACTCGAAACTTTTCATAAAATTTATTATTGACAATAGGATCAGGAAAAAAAATTTTTTTGTAACAAATAACAAGAATGTATTTTACTCCAGGCTAATTATTGTTTCGTATGCTCGAATTTTTGTTCGTTATTCAATGCATACTTACAAATGAAAACATCCTCTCTCTCTCTCTCTCGCTTTTATACGAATTTTTTCGACGCGGCTGTATAAAAGTTTTCACTCCGCGCGTTAACGTGTAACGCTTTTGAACTCATTATGTACATCGTGTACAACGCGAAGTATACACGGCGAATTCAAGTGCCACGAGGAATTTTTCGTACGGAAGCACGAGAGGCAGTAAAATAATGACACTTTTCACGAGGGCAAATATTCTCCTTTGCGCGCGAGCCTTCGCGGAAATGAATGAAAATATAAATGCAGGCTCTTTAACGAGTTAAAGGGCTGACAAGCGCGCCCGTCCACGATGAAAGAAGAGAGAGAGAGAGAATTCGGGCTGTAGCAAAGACACGAATGTCGAGGCATTGGAGAATTTCTTTCGAAGTTTTGGCAAGTTTCTTCCCGAGTTCGCAATATAGCGGTACGGTACAGCGCGCGATATACAATTTATACAGAAAAATGTTAACGCAAAGTCCGAAAAGGGAGAGAAAGGAAGAGAATTGTAACGATTTTTCTACCGCTGCACACTTTATTAGCGCACAGTTGTGCGCGCGCGCGCACTGATTAAAGTAGAAAAGACAGAATGAAAAAAAAGACGTAAAATAGGTACTGTACAACGTATGGTACACCCACGTACTCACACACGCCGGTATGGTTCAGATTTTACCTCACTCTCTCTCACTTTTTTTTTCGTTCATTAGTTTGAAAATTTTTAATTAGCTCGTATGGCGATTCCGCGGAAGCAAAGAACCGAGAAGAGGGCTCGAGCGCGTATAATAATACACATAATCAGTACTAATGAGTAAATTTACGCGCGCGTATATGTGTGCGCGGCAAAAGCGAATTACTTTGGGGGGGCGCGCGCGTATTATGACTCGGCGCGGTCTAATGACGTTATGAATACCCTTGCGCGCGAGGGTCTAGTTGCTCGTTTACACAAACTAATCATGTCCCTTACTCGCCTCCAACTCGATGCGCGCCCTTGTTGTTGTATAGTATAGTGTAGCTTACTCGCACGGTGGTATATATAACACGCGAGCAGAGGAGGGAGGTGAGGGTGCGGAAGGTGTGCCGCTACACGAAGCGCCGGTGTACACGTATAATAAGCAACACAACAATGAGACGACGGCCGAGCGTAGCGTGATTAGCAGCAGCACCAGAAGGCAGAAACACCCGCTAGCCGTGACGTATCGTGTGATAGTAGCAGTGGTAGTAGTTGTAGTGGAGGATGTTGCGTTGCGCTGCAGCAGATGCACGAGATGCGCGGCGGTACTTATGCGTCACGCGTGAAATCTGCGCCCCGGCCAGAGAGAGAGAGAGAGAGTGAACTCGGTCAGTAGGATCGACGCGTGTCAGCTGCGAATTCGTGCAATGTCGTTGTGTATAATAAGGCATTAATTCGACGCGTCGTCGTGTCGGTTGGATGCGTATTTGAGTCGCGAGAGATGCGATATGGTAATTCGTGATGATTGGAAAAGAGAATGGCAATCGAATTGAAGTAGCTATACGTGAGATTTGAGTTAAAGGTACAACTATATCAATATTCATTTTTGAAAATGAATATCAGGAAAGATTGAAAGGCAATGATTATAATTATAGATTTTTATTAAAAATAAATTTTCAAATCCACCAGAAAATCCAGTGATTCTTTTCAACGCGGTATACAGGTTGTCAAACTGCGAAAAAAAGTATGAATCTGTCCGACTATTCGAGACAGGTTATCATCTCATTTCATGTTTGTTTTGTCGCAGTCAACAACCTGATTCGCGCCGCGACGCGCGGGCGCGTTACGCGCTGCGTAAAAAATATGCCCTTAAAACCCAGGGTCTTCTCGAGATCGATTTAAAAAAAGGCACAAGTGACGATTCGAGTTTTTTTTTTTTTTTAACCAGTCCAGCGATCAAACTTATATCATCGTAACGACGTATTCGTAGCTCAAAAGTTCGTGCATGTAAAATGTTAACCATCAACGAGGCCAAGTGCTACACGAAAGTCGACAAAAAGGAGTTCGTGTTCACGTGGGTGATAAGCGACGTCATGCTGCACTGGAGCAAGCAAAAATCGTCGACGCTGACGTCGCCCGCGTTCAACATCGATCCCGACGATCACAGAAGATTCGAGCTGAGCTTGATCAGGCTCTACGACTCGTGCGATCACACGACTCAGGAGAGGCTGGACGTGTACTGCGTGAACAACAGCGCCGAGCTGCCGTGCAGGTGCAAGCTGTCGCTCGTCGGCCAGGACGACAGGATCGGCTACGCGCAGACGCACTATCACACGTTCCTCAAGTACTCGCCCGTGCTCGTATTCGACATTCCGCGCAACAGATTCATCGGTTGCGTCTCCAGCGAGGGCTCGGTCACGATTCGCTGCGAGATGACGTTCGCCGTCGGCGATCGCAAGAACTCGCTGAACTACGATCGTTGCAGCCGTCCGTTGATCAGCGAGGAGGAAGAAGCGTCGACGGTACCGAGGTACGACTTCGACTGGGTGTTTCTCGGCCGGGATCTGAGCGACGTCGCGCTGAGAACGGCCTGCGGAAAAACGATACCGGCCCATAAAGTCGTGCTCGCCGCCGTGAGTCCCGTCTTCAAGGCCATGTTCAGCCAGGACGTGCCGGAGAACAAGAACAAACCGGTCGACATGGCCGACGTCACTTACGAGGCCGCCGTGGAGATGCTGCGTTACATCTACACGGGCAGCGTCGAGTGTCAAGAATTTTCATCGACCGCCGAACTGTTGGAGGCTGCCGACAGGTACCAGCTCGAAGAGTTGAAAAATAAGTGCGAGCAATTGTTGAGCTCCAAGCTGTCCATTAAGAATTGCGTCGAGGCTCTCGCGATAGCCGATAGGCTGAATTTGAATCGTTTGAAAAAAGATGCGATAGATAGCGTTAAACGTAATATACACGGACATTCGAACTTTGATAATGCGGGCAATATGATTCTCAAGATGGCACAGTTTCTCTCGGAACAATTTCAAAGTTGATATCGGTGCTTTTTTCAATATCCTGAATTGCTCGTAATTGCCTGCTACTCTAATCAATGCCAAAATATAATGTTATATTATAGTTAATTGAATAAAAATAAAGGTTCGAATTCGTCAAAATTTATTTTACTTTACTGTTGCATGCATTAGTTGAATAATGTAATAATGTAATAATAATGATCAGAGAAAAAAATGGATTTCTATAGATATAATTACATAATCTTTCAATATTGAATTTGAAATTTTTCACAACATTTTTCACAAAAACCTATGGCTTAATTATTTTTTTTTTTTTTTTTGAGATGCAAATGAAATTTGTAAGGATATTTCAATTTTAAAATTTTATCATTGAGATTCGAAAGACTCCAGTCATAGAGACCCAGCAACTTCTGTTGTTGAATATCCGATATTCATGAATGAAACCATGAATTGTCTGCTTTTCTTTTCAACTTCATTCATGTGACTACTGTACTTTACGTAAAAACGTCAATAAAAATTGAACATCAAAATTTACTTTTCCCTTGTGTCACGTTATTTCATACACTTATAAACAATGCTCGACTAAATAAAACAATTAAACCTACAAAATTCCTCTATTCATACGAGCGTCTAAACACGTGAGTATGTGCGGTAATCCAATGATCTGCACGTAACATTGCCTTGGTTGCATGATCAAAGTATTTCGTGCCTAGACGTAAGTATTCGAGTTGACCTGTCAAAATTCTTATTGTTATTTGTCTAAAAAAAAAAAGGAAGAAACGAATGATTTCTTTTCGTCGACGCAACGGTTCTCGAGTTGCAACTAAGCAGCGCTCACCGCGGCTCATAACGCCACTCGAGGCTCGCGATACGCACTGCAGACAACTCATTGAAACAAAGGGTCAGTTGCAGAACACACGTGTAGCGATACTATACGGGTCTCGACTCGTGCAACGGTCAGTATAGGTACAGCAGTCATACACAACAGATCGTTGTTGACGCATACTACCCGTCAAAGTCTAAAACTACTCGAGAAACAATCAAACCTTTTTTGAGATCTTGCCAATGTTTACAATGTCAAGTACCGACAGAGGCTCGAGCACCACGCGTTTTATTAAAGAAGAATGTGATTATATGTGGGAGATAGAGAACTTTCAAGCGTTGTGGCAATTAACAGATGCAGTGATGATGTCGCCAATGTTCACTGTCAGTGGCTCTAGTCAAATACAGTTTCAATTCAAATTTCACAAAATCTACGACAAACAATATCCTCATGGTGTCTTAAAATTGTATCTAAGCTGCGTAAATAGCAATAGTGTGATATGCAATTACAGGATATCAGTAATTAGAAATTACCAAATTTCGAAAACTATATCGAACTTATATACATTTCATAACCGTCGGGAGGATTTAGAAATTTTTTCATATTTATCTAAGAAAATGAACCAATTAATTACATGCAACAATAATACCGTGAACATTCGCTGCAAATTGACAGTTTTCGTAGCGGATACAAGTAACTTGCTAAACTGTAAATCCGACAATAACGATGAAGTACCAAAACTAAAATTCGACTGGGTATTTTTGGATGAAAATTTGAGTGACGTGAAGCTTCGAACTGCATGTGGAAAGGAAATTCCTGCACACAGACTCGTGCTTGCCACTGCCAGCCCAGTGTTCAGAGCCATGTTTAGCCATAGTATGCCGGGCAACAGAACCCAATCAGTTGATATGATGGATGTCAGCTACGAAACTGCGGTTGAGATGCTCCGGCACATCTACACGGGTAGTGTTAAAAAGTGTGAAATTTCGATGATTATCGAGCTTTTGGCGGCCGCCGATACTTATCAATTTGAAGAGTTGAAAAATAAGTGCGAAAAAATATTGATAACCAATTTATCGACTGACAATGTCTTGGAGATTTTGGAAATTGCCAATAATCATGGTGCAAAAATTTTAAAAAAAGGAATAGCTGATTTTCGCAAAGTATTTTGAACAGACTTTTTGAACGTTATAATATATTGAATTTTATTTCAATACGCCACAATTTTTTTTCGAAATAATTTTAAAAATGATTTTAATACTTCTACCCCTATAATTATCTGCCAATCTCATTAACTTCAAAACATGATGTCATTATTGTACATTCAATAAAAATAAAAATTCAATACTGTCAAAATTTACCTTTTCCATACGTAACGTTATTTCATTACAATTATAAAAAAAATATATTTTTTGAAATCTTCCTTGAAGGCTGAAATCCAAACCTTATTCTGATTTTTAAAGATAAAAAATTTCTTAGCTTCGTCATGCTATCTACGACTTGAAGCTTGAAGACATGATTCTTTCCGATCCAGTGAATGGCCTCGTAGTCGATATCGAGCAAGAATCAACATTTTCTTCGCAAGTACTTCGATATTTATGCACCTCACTTCATCAGATAATGTCGGAGATCATACGAGACTAAAAGTCTCGCCAACAACTTGAATAATTAAAAATTTCTGGTAAATTAAACCACGATGATTATTAGTTATAATAAAAAATTGAACTGCAAATACCATCGTTTATAAAAGCTTAATCACATTGTATTAATTTGATATTATATTCTTCGATGTGATTATGAAATTGACGCTTCCTGTAGCGATATATGAATGCTGATCCGGAAATCAGAACAAAATATTATTCTACTTCGTACTTGTAGCAGAATTATGCTGATAAGATTTCGCGGTAGCATACTTCTGATTTGCTCTCCAAAGCAAAATTAATATCTCTAGCAGAAATCGAGGTGCTGAAGATTTTATGTTTTGTTATGAAAAGTTTAAAATTTTTCAAAGATTTACATTTCTGTTCTGGTGTAAAATCATTATAGGAGATAGACAAAAATTATTTACTTATTTTTATCTTCGCCGTAAATACAGCGTCTACTACGGATTATAAACTCGTTTACGATTTTACAGAAAAAAAGTGTATTATAAATAATGGTCCATGACGTCGTTTAAATTAAACCGCTAAAGTTTTATTTTTTCAAATTACATTAATAAAACCATTACAATTGAACAAATGATTTCTATACTTCGACGCTGCAATTGCGCTGCATAGTTTCCCGAAAATTCCGCTTAGCGACGTTACCAGCGCCAGTCGGGATTTGCTTGCGACTTGCGAGTCGATAGTCGATACACTCATACATTAGACCGTAGACGCTTCACGCTACTCGCTGTGTTCTAGTCCTTTGTTGCTCGTTTGTTGTCGCTGTCGGCTGTGCTCACAGTTGTTTTAAACATCGGCCACAGTCGGCGCCACTAAGGGAAAAAGAAGAAGTGGACTGTATTATTCAATAAATGGTCGTGGCCACACATTGCCCAACAGTTCGTGCGTGCGATAAAAATTCCAACCGACTTGAGAGATATTCTCCTAGTGTATAAAATGGCAAGTTCCAATATAGTTAAGTGCTCTACGCGCATTGATAAAAAAGACTGCGATTTTACGTGGTCAATAGAAAATTTCACATTCATCCTAGAAAAGAATAAAGGTATAATAATATCGCCCAAGTTCTATGCAGGTAGTGACACGGAAAAAGGATTTTATTTGTCCATAGATAAATACCGGTATTCTCCTTGTGGTAAACCTAGTGCGATCGATTTTATGCAAATACGTCTGGAATTGGTCAACGAACCTACGATCAAAGATTACGAGTTCGAAGTATCAATAATCAAAGATGGAAAAATTATTGAAACCCATACAAATAGTTGCAAATCTTGTATTTCGAAGCCCAACCGAAAAGTGATTTTGGACGATTTTCCAGAAAAGATTACGAAATTCATTTCGTCTACGGGTGCTTTAACCATTCGCTGTAAAGTAACTGTCTCAAACGGAAGTATAACAAACTTTTTTGACTATGGACCCGTTGATGGGAGTAAAGTACCAAAACTGAAGTTCGATTCGGTACTTCTTGATGAAAAATTTAGTGATGTGAAATTACGAACAGCGTGTGGGAAAGAAATCCCTGCGCACAAGGTCGTGCTCGCCACTGCTAGTCCAGTATTCAATGCTATGTTCAGTCATGATATGTTGGAAAACAAAACTCAATCAGTTGATATGGTGGATATTACTTACGAAGCAGCCGTTCAAATGCTACGATACATCTACACTGGTACTCTTGCTAATCACCAAACTTCCTTGATTCTTAACCTTTTGTCGGTCGCTGACAAGTATCAACTTGAAGACTTGAAAAATAAGTGCGAGCATGTAATAGGCACAAATTTATCTACTGAAAATGTTTTAGAAATTCTTAAAGTTGCTGATGATCACGGGGCTAAACATTTAAAAGAAAAAGCGATCAAATTTGTTAAGAGTAATGTAAACGGACCTTTAGAATCTAATAATGTTGGCGATTTTATTCTCAGTATGGCACAGTTTCTTCACAAATAATTTTATAGCCCATTTCAATACATTTATGACTCATATTTATGATATGACTAATGCTTATGATTGTTTTCTTTTCTCATTAATTTCAAAGCATCATGTTACTACTGTACTTTCAATAAAAATAATAGTTCAATACAATCAAAATTCATTTTACCCTTGTCACATCATAAAATTCTTCACAATATATAACACGTAGCACTGAGAAAGCGTAATACGAGAATACCAGTGATAATGTCGTAAAACACGAACGATGCTTTGGTATTGGAAAAATAATCAAATATGCATCAAATCAGCATATCAATCCGACTTACGGTGATGAACATACAATTTGTAAAAACTCTATTCCTGCTCGGGTCGCCTTGCGAAAAAATAGATTTCGAATAAAAATTAATAAACACCAACGTGTTTTCCAATGGTCAAACTGATATTCGTTTTAATTTTTATCTTGAAATTTTTTAAACTAAATATTTATAACTGCAACATTTTTAATCGACAATAAAAATTTCAACGAAAACTATGTGTCTGCCACAGATATGATAATAGTTTTACAAGTGTAAAGCCTTTTATTATTAGTCAAAGATACTCATTGGTCATAATCAATGACAATAAATTGTCGCCAATTTAAAATGTTAAAAGTATCTAAGCATATGTTCGAGTTGGGTTGTCTGAAATCATTATTTGTCCGAATAAAATACTAACTCGACTCTCGCTCGAATTTCAGCTAAGTAAGTGACGCTCACATCACCCGAGGGCCGAGGCGCGCAAATCGCTACTTTCAACAAAGGGTCCCTTGGATGATCACTATTAGACGGCAGACGCAACGCGGTGTATAGCTGTGCGAGTCTTGACCTGTGCTGCGTGCAACAGTCCATTAGTCAGTCGTATACTGCTGTGAGCTGATAGTCGTTGATACGTATTGTGGCGAACGTTTGTGCGTGCGATAAATATCTCAGCGCCTCGAAAGACAACTCAACTCATTTAAGATTTTTCAAAAGTATAAAATGTCAAGCGTTAATACAATCATAGGCTTTACTGAACTTGAAACGAAAAAAGCCGATTTTACGTGGGTATTAAGACAATTTAAACGTATTTGGGACGGACGACAAACCAAAGGGATACCATCACCGACATTTACATTCGGTAGTGATGATCAAAGAATATTTTATTTATATTTGTGGAAGAATATAAATCGTACTCAAGTGGATCTATTCGGCATTAAGAAGCAAAGTGACTTCGAATTAACCTGGAAGTCATCAGTTAATAAGGATGACAAAACTGTATGCACTAACTCTGGTATTCTAAGGAGTTATCATGGTGATATTTATGATTCTAAACCTGATCACTTGGCATGTATCGTCACAATTCCTAATGAAGAAATGATAAATTATATTTCATCGACGGATACTGTAAGTGTTCGCTGCAAATTGACAATGACTATGGTAAACTCAACGAAATCACTAAGCCATATATCCATCGATACTAATGAAGCATTGGTACCAAACTTTAATTTGGACTGGATGTTTCTCAATGAAAATTTAAGTGATATTAAGCTGCGAGTATCTGGAAAAGAAATCCCAGCACATAAAATTGTGCTCGCTAATGCCAGTCCTATCTTCAAAGCCATGTTTAGCCCCGAAAACAAAAGTCAATCGATAGATATGTTTTGTATTACTTATGAAGCTGCAGTTGAGATGCTGCGATATATTTATAAGGGCAGCGTCAAGATTATAGATTTCACCTTGGCTGCTCAACTTTTGATGGCTGCTGACAAGTATCAACTCGAAGGATTGAAAAAAGAATGCGAAAAAATGTCGAATTGCTACAAATATAACATGGAAAGTTTGAAGAAAGAAGCAGTTTAGTTTACAACTGAGTTCCAGCGTATCCACAGTTTCTGACGATGTGGGTAATATTGATTTTCAGTATGGAGTGACTTTTTTTCGAAATAATATAAAAACTTCAATATGTTCTTTCTCAAATTTACTTGTATCTATTGTTCACATCATGACATGTATTATTTAAATGCTCTTTATACTTACAATTTAACTGCATAATTTGATTTGTGACTATCCGATTATTATTGCCCGTTGCTAATTCATAACTTATCGCGGTATACTTACAATTGTTTTTTCGAATATTTTTTTATGAATAAAGGGTTGTAATATATAATTTGTATTGCAAATTTTTTATTTCCTGTCCTAATAAAATGACAACAACAACATCTTTCAATACCAAACTATTGATTTTTTATGGGAATTTTCACAAATGGTTTATGAATTACTATTGAATTTTTATAATGAAATACTTTATTCTAATGAGCAATATTTTCATGGTCAAGTGAATGGCCCTTGCAACGATTTGTTTGTGCAAAGATAATTTAATTAGTATTTTTGGATTTAAATTTATCAACTCTCGATGTATACAGTCGTTGCAGGACGAAAAAAAATTGAAATTCGTCACATTTTTGTCCAATAAAAATTTTATTTGTAATGAGTATTGAAACGAAAGGCTGTTCTGATCATCGACAATTGCATAATTATCGCGATTTGAATCAAAGGCGATTCGACTTTGAAATTTCGAGCTACGTTTGGCGCGTACATTTCCATTCTTCAAAGGCTACACGCATCGTCAATTTTCTTTACAAAACGTCTCGTCACATTTAATTTCTTTATTAAACTGTCACTCTCAATTTTACGCAATAAAAAAGTGCGGTACTGTTAATCGATCGTTTTCGCGTCTGACACGAGTCCTACGAGAAAGAGTCGCTCTCTGAATAATCGGTACAAGATGCATCGATGATCAGTAGTTATTTTCTAGAGAAGTATTCGCTGGTAGATGTGAGGGTAAAGGATAGCTTGAGGTTTTTTTAGTGACGAAACGAGTTTTAGAAGCGAAACGAGGTCAACGAGCTGACTCGCTGCTCTTTACGTTCTAGGCCAATAAAAATGTGAATTTGGTAGTATCCCAGCAAGAAAATCAAAAAGCTTTACGGCCATCAAAATTTACTACGGCCGCATTCAAACTTATTCAATTTTCTACTATGATAATTTTTATTCGCGTCGCGATTACACGCAGGAACAGAGTGAAGCGCTTACAAATGAGTCCTGTTCTAGGTTTTTCTTCCTTTGATCAAAGTGTACGGGTGAACTCTGGAGAGCGCAAAATATTTTACGAGAGAATTTCTCACTTTAAAAAATAATCGTAATGACGCACCCACACTTAAATACTATAAAAATTAATTTCAAAGTGTTGTTAACATCGACTATGATGTAAGACGTATAAAATTTCATATCGCGATCACGTTTTCGTGACGAGCATTTCAAGTTTACACGAGTTTTACGCATCTTTTCTAGAAAATAAATTAATTTACTCAGTTAGCGGAATCGCTCGCACAAGCTCGGTCGAGGCAAAAAAAACACACACAAAATCGCCATGTCCACGAAATCGCTGCTTCGTTTCGCGCTCGTGGCCGTGGCCGTTGTATCCAGCGCGAGATCCGTCGACGTCGACATAGCCCAGATCTTCTCGCGCGGATTCGACCTGCTCGGCTCGATACGCGATCCCGTGCGGCTGTTCGAGTCGATCTTCGGCCTCGTGCAGATCATCTCCGGGCAGATCAACGAGAGCGAGCGAGTCGAGTCGAGCGGCGCCGCCCTGGCGACGATCAGCGAGAGCCTCGCCGAGATCTCGGCGGATATCCAGGACTTCCGGGAGGATCTGTTCGACGAGCTGAAGCGGCAACAGTCCGAGTACGAGGTCACCACGAAGCTCGACAAGTTCTTCAAGATCAAGGAGGAGATCGACCGGTACTACGTGCAGTTCAACAATCTGCACAACTCGAGCCGCGTGGGCGGCTATCTCAACTCGACGCGCGAATTGTTAGCCAAGAAGATACGCGAGGTCGGCTTCAACGGCGTCACGGGCCTGCTCGACGAGATGCACGCGCTGGTGCGCACCGATCGCTGGTCCGGCAGCAGCTTCAATCTGCTGTCCGACACTACCCTGGTGATAATATATTTATTATTATTTTCTTTTTTAAATTAAAAACAAAAGTAATCGTTTAATTGTCGAACATCATCCTGCAGACGTCGACGCTCGTGTGCTCGAGAGGCCGTCCGGCGCAGTTGATCATTCACAATATTTATTTGGCCCTGTGCGCCACCGAGATGAAGGGCATCATGCTGGACGTGTGGGCCATAACCGAGGCAATGAAGAAGGAGGGAGTCAACACCACTCGGGAGATCGCCGACGTCAAGGAGGCGTTCACCCTGCGACTGACGCGCACCAAGACCAGCACCAAGCGTGCCATGGAGAGGGCGTCGCGCGAGCACTGGAGCTGCGCCAAGCCCGATCCCGTACAAAGTAACGATTGTATTACATGGGCTAAGACATAGCTGGCGTCGAGGTCAAAAAAATTTTTTTTCTTAAATTGTGTACTTTTGAAGAGTACATTGAAAAGTGAAAATCCTGAAAGTTTCAGCCCTCTGGGTCCAACCGTATTGGGTTTTCAGGGTCTTAAAGTTGAATTTTTTTTTTCTGCTGGTACTTTGCTCGCAATTCTGATTTTCTTGAGTTTATATGAAAAAATTGTTGAATCATGGTTTTTTATGTAAAATTTGATCTAGAATTCTAACTTTTACTTAAAAATCAAATTAATAAGTTTAATTCCATAAAAATGATATTTTCATGCACTGATAATGTCACTGTGCAAAAATAAACAGCGATATGGTCAACATTGTAATATGTTCATTGATACATCAAATTACAACTTCTGATAAATTTTGGTTGTCAGTAGACAAACATAATTCATTATTGAGCTTAATATGAGTCAACAATCAAGGAAAATGAGAGAAAAGCCATGTTTCTTGACTCATATTAAGCTCAATAATGAATTGTGTTTATCTACCGATAACCAAAATTTATCAAAAGTTGTAATTTGATGTATCGATGAACATATTACAATGTTGGCCAAATCGCTGGATACAAATATGTTTATATTTTTGCACAGTGACATTATTAGTGCATGAAAATATCATTTTTATGGGGATTCAACTTGTTCATTTGATTTTTAAGTGAAAGTTAGAATTCTACATCAAAGTTTACATTAAAAACCATGATTCAATAACTTTTTCATATTAACCCAAGAAAATCAGAATTGTGAGCAAAGTACCAGCAGAAAAAGAAAATTCAACTTTAAGACCCTGAAAATCCAATAGGAATGGACCTAGAAGGCTGAAACTTTCAGGATTTTCACTTTTCAATGTACTCTTCAAAAGTACATAATTAATAAAAAAAAATGTTTGACCATCACGCTAACTATGGCTTAGCCCATATACAAACGATTACCGATCCGTACTCAGATCAAAAACTCAAGGGTGACGATTTCACGCAGATAAGACGTACTTGCAGTTCGGCCCGTTCATACAGATGAGCATCGAGCGCGAGGAGCGCATCTATCAGGTCTATCCGCCGACCTCGGGCTGGCTCTACTGGGACAGGTGCAACGGCAACTGCGAGCGTCACGCCTACAGTCACGTAATGGCGCCCGGCGAGTACGGCTGCGGCCATCGACTGAGAAACTGTCGCGCCTTCGATAACAACGTCGATATTTGCTACGCCCAGGTGATTTGAATACGCGCGAATTCGCTTTTCTTCTTCATAATTTCTTTTAATTAAATTCTAATTCTGTTGTTTTTTTTTTTTTTGTATAAGCCTGCCATGCCGCGAAGGTACGAGTACGCGGTGGGCACCAACGACAAGGTTTACGGGAACAACGACGAGGAATGCGGCGGAACGAAAGAGACGCTGGCCAAGTTCACCAATCTGAACTCGTTCGCGTGCGAAATTTGCGTCTGCACGTGCGAGGAGCTGCACGCGCCGGATCACTTCGTCGATCTCGGAGAGGTCACGTCCAACGTGGACGAGAATAAGTTAGTATAACATTTCAATTTTCGATCTCGTTATCTCTACATCGCACTAAAATTAATTTTGTTTTTGCAGAGTCATAGTCGGACTTCGCTTCAAGCGTATGTTCGGCATACTGTACATGGAGGCGAAGACGGCCAAATTGTTGCCGTCGGGCTTGATCGATCCCAAGACCAAGTCCTGGACAAAGAAGGAGTTGAAGAGGGAGGACGTGGAGGGACTCGTGGAGGGCGTCGATCACGTGCGACTCACCTGGAGAAACAGGTCGTTCGCCCTGGACGACATCGAGCTCGAGAACGACTACGTCCTCACCGGGGTGAAGTTCGTCTACGACGGCGGCCTCGTCAAGGTCGCGGCCCGAGGTAATTTTTACGACTTCGAGGCGGGCACGGTGGATCCGGAAGAGGAGTTCTGGAGCGTCAGCGGTGAATCCAAGGGTCTCGAGGAATACGGGTGAATAGAAAAAATTTTACGAGTTCAGATGGGTATGAATTTTTTCCAAATAAGTCTCGTTTTCGACAGCCAACTGTCGGTGGAGGATCGGGACGTACCGACGGATCATTTGGAAAATCACGTCGACTCGGTCGAGGGACAGTACCTGAACTTGACGACGAGCAGCATGAAAAACGACGCGGGCCAGAGCGTGGTGCCGTTCGTCGACGCGCTGCCCGTCGTGCCCAAGCAACTGATACCACTGTCGGGCTTTGGACTGATCCACAAGGGCGGCAGAAAGACCTCGGGATATCTGGCGCTCAAGCTCTTGGGCTACGACTTTGAGCCGCACGTTTCGTAATTATTGTAAAGGATAATTTTTTTTTTTTTTTAGGTAACATTGTTCGTTAGTGTGTAGTAAATTTTATTATTAATGTATTTCTATGGCGAATAAAAAAGATAAATCAATGTTTTCAATTAATTATTTGTATAAGAATGAAAAAGTTTTAAAATTTGTAGTAAAAATGAAAAACGAAAAAACAGTATTGCCCTTGTTTCGTACGTTTTATACGATCGTAAATTTAATTTTTTTCAAAAAGTTCCATGCGTCATAAAATAGTTGAATCAATTATAACTGTTATCACCGTCTTCTAGGTATATAGGTGTGAGTTCAAAGTTATTCGATACCATCAGCGCCTTTGATCATCTTCAACAAACCAACAGCTTATTTACTGTTTGCAGAGAAAATTTATTGTAAAATTATTACATGCTTTTTGGCAAAGTTGAACCCTTAAAACCTTCATTTTTCTAAATTATACCGACGATAAAGTATGATTCACTTGAACCTACCTTACAGTTTCGCAAATTCTCCGCTAATGATTCAACAACAATTGCCTGCCGCCCGCACAAGATAAGATAGCCGGCAGGTTAGCCGCAGCTCACAGGTAGCCCGCGTAGCTGCACAGTCAGTTGATCGTTCGATTTAGGCAACAGTCAGTCGCATTGCAATGCTTTGCGCGAGCACATAGTGTCCAACAGCTTGTATTTGTCATAAAAGTTTCAAGTTAAATTTTTTCTCGAGATTATCCCACAGTGTAAAATGTCCATTGCCAATAAAATCACAGGCTATACGCAAATTCCCACAAAAGATTGCGATTTCACGTGGGTGATAAAGGATTTTCCGTTGTATTGGCAGAAAATCAAGGTAAACTTAATGTCACCAGCATTCAATGTCGGTGGTGATGATCAAATGCAGTTTGCATTGAAATTAAACAAAATTAGTACACTTGGTGGTGCAGATAAAGGAAGATTAGATCTACACCGCGTGCAGAAATATGCACAACCATCATGCAAGTACAAGATAACTTTCATCAAGGATGATAAACCTGTTCACGCTCAATCCATGAAGTATACATTTTCTACGACTGATTATGTGGTTCCAATTCTCACCTTACAAAACAACGAATTACTAGAATTTATTTCCTCCACTGGCACGGTAATTATTCACCTCGTGTTATCAGTTTTCACTGGAGATGAAAAGAAGTTCTTAAAAAAAGAATCTGTTGATACGAATAAAGTTTTGGTGCCAAAATATAATTTTGACTGGATATTTCTTAATGAAAATTTGAGTGATTTTAAGTTAAAAACTGCTAGTGGAAAGGAAATCCCAGCGCACAGGGTCGTACTCGCAAATTTTAGTCCAGTATTCAAAGCTATGTTTAGCCTTGACATGTTGGAAAAGAAAAGCCAATCGGTTGATATGATCGACATTAGTTATGATGCTGCAGTCGAGATGTTGCGATACTTCTACATAGGTACAATAGAGAGTCGCAAAGTATCATTGATTATTGATCTTTTAGTGGCAGCTGACAAATATCAAGTAGACGAGTTGAAAAACGAGTGCGAGAGAATATTGAGCTCACTGTTGTCACCTGAAAATGCTGTGGATATTTTACAAGTAGCCGATAAATGTAACATGAAAAATTTGGAGAAAAACGCAGCTGAATTGATAAAATAGCATATCAAGATATCTTCAGACTCTGAGGATGTAGGTAACATGATTCTCTGCTTGGAATGACTTTTTTCGAAATAATTTTAATATGAATTCTTTGTTAATAATATTATCTTAAAAAACACTATGCTACTTTTGTACTGAAAATGAAGAATCGTCAATATTTACAATAACCATCCGTCCTGAAACTTTATTACAATTATAAACCATTTTTGATTTAACCAAAGTGAGTCATGAAACATTCAAAATCCACCTTCAAACTAATTCAACTTATTGTTATGTTAATTTTTTCGTAACATGATTATACTGGTAGGAATAGAGAAGTACTCACGAATTAGGCCAAGGTTTTTTTCTTTAAAGCGAAGTGTACTATAGGGTAAACTATGCTTCAAGACTGCCTCGCGTGGTACTAAGAAGCTTAAAATATTTTTTAACGCCTCTTTTTGTGGAGAAAAGTATTATTCAAGTAATTCAAGCCTTTGGTCAAGTAAAATCGTTACAACTTTCAACTTACTAAATTATACCGAAGAAAAAGAATGATCAATTTAAATCGACCCTGCAGTTTCTCGAATTCTCCGCTGAGCGACGCCCAAGACGTCAAGTATCGCAAATCGCAGATGATTTAACGTAAAAACGAAGGGTCCTTTTGATAAGTTTTAGAACGCAGTTATAGTGATATTATAACGAGTATCTTGCTTGATTTGGGCTGCACAGGGAACGATCAATACGCAGTCATAGTTAGCCGTTCGTCATAGCCTCTTATTATCCAGCAGTTGCGATAAAAGTTTCAAGTGAATTTCATACAGTTTAAAATGTCAAATAATAAAGTACTCTGCTTCACGGAACCTCAATCACAAGACTGTGATTTTTTGAAGACTCACAAAAAAAATCAATTTGACAAAGCAAATAATGAGATTCTTGACATGATTTATAAGAATAACGAAAATATATTTATATGTATTATTATTCTTCGATCAAAGAAAATCCAGGAATATTTACAAGACCTAATGAAGAATTACAAAAAAAATCAAGTTGAAAAAGCAAAGAATGAGATTCTTGACATGATTTGTAAGAATAACGAAACTATATCGATGAATATTTTTTTTCTTCGATTTAAGAAAATCCAGGAAGATTTACAAGACCTATTGAAGAATTACAAAAAAAATCATTTTGAAAAAGCGAAGAATGAGACTCTTGACATTATTTGTAAGAATAACGAAAATATATTGATAAATACTATTATTCTTCAATCCAAGAAAATCCAGGAAGATTTACAAGACCTAATGAAGATTTACAAAACCTACTGAAGATTTCTAAGTAATCTCATTGTTTATGATTCAATGTAACTTATGTACGCATTTTGAGAACCTTAACTTGCAAATGTTATTTACTAATTTACTGAAAATAAAAAATTGTCAAAATTGATTTATCAGTCTATCTGTCATGTTATTTCAATACTATAATAAACTATTTTTAGCTTGATAAGAATCATAATCAGTCATAGATACTTACTTTTGCCGCCTTCAAAACTTGATCAATTTTTATTTCATGTTAATTTCCTTGGACTATGATTACACTATGGAAGAGAGAGAAGTACACATGAATTATCCTAAGGTTTCATTTTGAACAAAGAGTATGGTAAGAAAATTATAATTATTATAAGAATACTTTTTTGATGTAGTATTGCTTACTAACAAGTACTGAATTCCATTATTGATGAATTTTTATCAAACAGATAAAAAAAATTAATGTTTTTTATTAATTATAAAAATGAAACATTTTTAATCAAAGTTTAAATAATAAACAAAAAAATTGGGTGTAAAGTAATTGTCCTAATCAACAGTAAGAAAGTTTTTGATGATATTGTCACGTACTTGACTCATTAGAAAAACTTAAATTTTTAGATGAAACATAAAAGTGAATAGAAAAAAATTAACTTTATCAACATATCATATCAGATTAAAATATAATATAAAGGGTACTTGATTAAGGATATAAATGTGGAAATGAAATGCTTCAGTTTATTTTTTAACGCATTTATGGAACACGTTGGACTTTTTTATTGTATCCAAAGTCTATAAGATTTCGAAGTGAAAAGAATACAACTTTATATCTTTGTTTTGTTTATAAGGATCTTCTACGTATAAACAACATCAACGAAAGTCTCATACGACTACGTTGTAATTCTATAGACCCAAATACAATAAGAGATAAATGTAAGTACATTAGGCTTATGAATTTCATTTTTATGAAAAAATTCTACGCTATATAAAATTGTTGAATCGATATTAATGTTATCACCATCTTTATATCGTAATGACTAGCGCTTATTTTTCGTCGAACATGTCTTGATGCAAAATTTATCAATTTTAGGAAAACGTTTTTGTCGATATGTCGAAAATTGTCTGTTATCGGAGTCTATACTGCTTATACGAATGCGCAGGGATATTTTAGTATTCTGCAATCGGAAATAATCTATAGGACAGTTATTTTTTATTATTTTTCTTCAATTCGCGTTTTGAGTATTCAAAATAAATGACTTTTCGATTACTTTATCACGAGCTGATCCTATTACATTGTTTAAAATCTTTTAGTATACTATTTGCAGATCGCGTACTAACCACTGTACACAAATGTTTCTTGTTGTCGCGCTAAATATATTTACATTTTTATTAATCTATCATCACTAAGATCGAAAATTGTGAAGTTTTTTGTGGTAAATATTTTGGTTTCCATTATTATAATCTAATCTAATCTGATCATTTTTTCATTCTCCTTTTCTTTCCATATTTAATGTTACATGAAAAACTTTTTGATTATTCGAATGTGCGTTCATTTTCTAAAGGTATCGATATTTTTGTTTATCGTTATTATCAAACATTTGTTCTAAAATTTGAATTACTTTATTTTTTAAAATTCACAGATTAAGAGCTAACTAAAGGTCCGACTTCGATCTATCATCAAAAATATTCTGAATAACGTTTGTTGATGAAATTCATCGCTGGCAAATAATTGTAATTTCAGCGCAAGCTTCTATGTGATATATCATAATTGCGATCCACCGCCCCGAACACGATTACAAAGATTATCTCGATTGCCTAGGCTTAGCGCGGTGGATTGAAGAAGCTTATATCATTTCGTAATTAAAAGCATCAGTGAAACGTTAAGTTCATTTAATCTTAAGTTATGTGATAATAATCTTTTGTATTATATTTATACTTTGTAAAGCTGTCTTTGGAGTAATATTCGAAAAGAGCCTTGAATTATCTTTGATTGAAATAACCTGATTCTGCGAGTTTTCAAAATAACAAAACTTATTTTCATACTTTGCTCAGAGTACATTATATAATTATATTAAAAATAATCGAGCTTTATATTTCAGTGGTACACCTCGTGGACAAACTTTGTTCCTCGATCTCAAAACGACGACGTTTTCTTCCTTACGCCACGACGATCCGCTAATACGTATTAGGCTGTACGTGTGAAAGCTTAGAAGCTCTCGTAGATGCCGGGATCGCGATCGAGATCGAAGAGCTCGAGGTCGTTGCTGCTACCGCCGCCGCCGCCGCCGGGCCGCTGCGGCCTCAGGCCGACGCAGTCGTGGGGCGCGCACTCGATTCTGCCCTGCTGGCCGCAGCTGCACTCGACGCAGTTGCCCGTCGTGTGCGGCAGCACCTCGCCGGCCCGATACGTTCTTCCTGTTGATGAGAGAGAGAGAAAAAAAGAATCAATGATTGTTGTTTTTTTGTTTTTTTTTTCAAAATTATCGAGAGAGCAAAAAGTTTCAATGACAACGTAGTAACTTATTTTCGCCTGTTTGCCTTTCGCTGCTCGGTTACTCTATATGTACAATACTCATTATTATTATTATTCGTAATAATGACGCGATCGCCGGGGCGAAATTTTCCGCGCTCGACAGAATAAACCGAAAGCAGCTCGTAGGGAAAGTTTAATCCGACAACTTTTATTCGGCTCGAGGGAGATTATAAGTGGAGCTTATAATATGCTACTATATATAAAAGGAACACGAGGCACAAAAGTGCGTATGTGTGTGTCTGCGAGGGCGTAAAAATCACGAAAAATTTTAAAATCGCCTCGCAGCTGAGCTCGGAGACAGGACGGCAGCGGGGCACACGTTTATAAACTTTCGACTCGATCGTATATCGCATCCTCCGGGCTTATATATATACGCTATATATATATATATATATTCGAGCTACGAGGGCATGTAATATACGTCTCCGACGCAAAAGGCTTTGGCCCCTCGAGGCAGTAAACAAGAGGGAAGCTCCGACAGACAGACAGGTCCTTCATTAGGGCTCGTGTTAATTTCTCGAACTAAGGATCTACGCGTGGGTATATATATGTGTGTGTGTGTGTGTCTTGCTTTCAAGACAAAGTAAGGGAGACCTCCTATATGCGTTAGGATGTATAAACTTTTACCCATGACGAGACACGTCGCTGGTGTTTTGGCCGTCGTTGACGCTGCCGCTGCAGCCGTGGAATTCTCGACCTCGGGCGAGGAGGCAACCGCTGCTTTGGCTTTATCGTCCTTTTTGGCCTCGTCTTCCTCGTCCTCATCAACGTCGTCTGGCTCGTAGCTGTCGTCCTCCTCGGCGTCGTCTTGGTCGTCTTCGTCATCGTCGTCGTCGTCGTCGTCGTCATTCACCTCGTCCTCCATCGATGAATCTGTCGGATGATTGATCTACGAAATATCAAAATCAAAATCATATCCCTTCTGTATACTATATATAAACTAAAAATAAAAAAGGAAGATGGATCACATTCTGTTGTTGTTGCTGCTGCTGCGCAGATTGATAGGCCTCTTGCGGCTGCTCTGATACCGACCCCGAGTAATCCTGATCATCGTCCTCGTCTATCCAGGCATTGTTGTTCTCCGTCGTGGCTTTGCGGGTCGAAGGCAAGGGCGGCGATTCGGTCGATAGCGTTAGAGGCGCGTCACTGCTGCTGCGCTGAGCCGTTTGCCACCAGCAGTAAACCTCGCCGGCCACGCACAGGCAGTGCGAGTTCAGGTCGAACGACGGTATCTGTATCGAGTCGGATCATACGTGCACGAAGATTCGTGTAGTAGAATGCAAAGAGCGAATTGTTACGGTAAAAAAAATATGAGATAATTATACAAGAACTGACCGTCTGACTGTGCGAGTAGGCTTTGTTGCGGACGATGCACTTCTTGGAGAACGTCGTCTCCTCGCTGCTCTCGGCGTCGATGTCGTTGTCGTCGCGCATGGGTATGTCCACCTCGCCGATCAGCACCTCGCTCGAGCTGCGTCCCGGCGCTGAAACACGAAGGTCGATCGAAACGTTAAAATAAAGGGCAAAGAGATTATACAGCTTTATTTTTTTGCAATTAAATAAAATCGACGAATGAAAATTCGAAATCGTTCGATTATAACGTGACAGCTAATATACGTAATAATACACTTGAATCATGTATAATAGAAGCTCGTATGCGCTTTGATACCTGGGCATCGAATTAATCGAGCTCATTACGCTTACTCGGCATTATACGCGGTGCATATCGGATCGTTCGGGGCGAGCGATATATATAACATACACTGGAAATCGCATTATCATTTGACGTTAACGACGAGCTACGATGTTAATTTTCTCGAGTACGTATCTAATATATCCTCGCTAAAAATGCGATAATCGCTAAATATGACAGGGTACACGAGCTGGAGCATTAGTAGATTGTAGATGCCTGTAATTCCATGTGTCAATTTATCTTGTTCCGGTCGTAGTTGCATCCGTCCATGAAAAAGCGATCGATTGTAGAATTGTGTATTTGTGCAAAAAAAAAAAAAAATCGGTGGTCAATTGGAAAATTGATAGATGATCTTCTAATGAACTTCACCGGATGTATGATTAATTGAAATGTTTAGAGTGTTAGATGAGTAATAAGCAGGATCAGAATTTTTGATGTGGCTTTGCTCTGAATTTTGAGATTCTGTCAATAGATCATTCGATTTAAAAGTTAATTTTTTTCAAAGAAAATTAATATGTAATTAGCTATACTTTTGGATCAATTTTTTGTTTTTATGAACCCGTTTTACACTTATTGTTATTTTTACAGTTATTAACATATTATCTTTATTGTAATATTGTAATGAATTAAATAACAACACCAATAGATAAAGTAAATTTTGCAGATACTAATTCAGATTTTTATTTTGATCATGAGTACATAAGTAACATAATGTTTTCAAATAATGGCGAAGAACAAAAAATCAAAGTGTACCATAAATAATTATGACATTTTTAGACATAAATTATTAATATCATGAGAGTTCGAGAATCCACTGATATTTTACATAATTAACATCCACTTTGCCTTTTCTCTCAAACGAGTCATATTATATTTATCAGCTATTTCCATATTCTCAATCCCATTTTTAGGGGATAAATTGGAGATCAGTATATCCTCGCAATGTTCTTTCAACCACTTTATCTGATATTTTTCATCGGCCATTAAAATTTCATCAATCAAAGAAAATTCTCGAGTTTCAATTCTACGGTACACTATGTATCGCACAATTTCAACTGCAGCCTCGTAATTAACATCTCTCATATCATAATATTGGCTTAAATTATTATCGTCGAACATTTTTTTGAATACTGGACTGAACTTGACGAGTAAACCTTTAGACGCCGTTATTATTTTTTCAGAAGCTGTTACCAGACCTACGATAGCGATATGCTCGTGAAAAAACGCGTCTTCGTCGAACTCCAGTTCTGGTACTTCATCCTCTTCGGCGGTTTCGTTGTTCAATGAGTTTTGCGCATTTCCCGTGGCGATCGTTAATTGACAGTGAATAGTTACAGTACCTGCGGATGAACAGAATTCGTTCATAACACGAGTGTCAATATCGAAAATCTTTTTCAAACTCGAGCCATGAAACGTGTGGCCGTCCATCGCGCGGTGAACGCACTCGTCATCCCTCATGATCGATATCTTGTATGAACTTTTCATTTTTGCATTTGTCTTCACGCAAAGTAGATACAAATGAATTTTATCGGTAGTGGCATCCTTGCGTTTGTTCAGCTTGAATTGAAACTGCGCTCGATGATCGTTACCGATCTCGAATATCGGCGACTCAATTTTTCTTTCCTCTACTTCCAAAACCAGTAAATAATCACTTATCACCCACGTAAAATCGTAGCTCTCTTTATTGATCTTAGTGTAGCCTATGATTTTATTATCGTTTGACATTTTGGAAAAATAGCGAAAAGGCACACTTATTTTCACTTCTGATTTGTATCGCACGCACAAAATACTCGGCAATGTAGATGTGTCGACGACAATACATAGGCTACGACTGACGGTTATACTTCGTACTCGAATCAAGACTGCGTATCGCAACATGATCTGTGCGTTCTAAAACGCACAGATCGAACGGGTCCTTTGTTTCGAATCGAAGTCGGCGTCGCGATTCGCAAGTCTCGGGTGACGCCGCAGGAACGTCGCAGAGCTGAGTAGTCAAGCAATACGTGAGGTTTGCCGTGGGTCAGGCTTACATTTCACGAAGTGACAACAATAATAATGGTATTCATATAGCTCACATAAAAATCTCGACGCGGCTTTACTCGAAAAAGACTCGCACATGCAAGCATGCCTGCCTCACGCTGTTATATTTACTTAGGCTTGCCGCTACCGCGAAGCGATTTAATCGTGTATCAGTTAAAAAGCGTTCGAGCTCACGATTATGTGTTATTTTTTATGTATGATCTCGGTTCGCTTAAAAATTTATTACTGTACTCAATCGATTCAAAAAAATCATTCGTCTCTTGGGTGTAAAAATTCGATTATCGCTAAATATGACAGGGTACACGAGCTGGAGCATTGTAGACGTCTGTAATTCCATGCGCCAATTTATTTTCTTCCGGCTGTAGTTGCACATGTCTATACAAAAAGCAATCGATTGTAGAATTGTGTATTTGTACAAAAAAAATCGTCGGTTAATTAAAAAATTGATAGATGCTCATCTAATGAACTACACCGAATGTATAATTAATTGAAATGTTTAGGGCGTTAGATGAAGAATTAGCAGGACTTAAATTTGTACAAAAATTAAATTTAAATGATTTTAATTTTTAATTTTAAAAATTTTCACCCCGACGAATGCGAATTTCATACAGATTTATGTGTACATTATAAATTATGTACAAATTTGACCTGTATATGAATGGGATGATGAAGTTGCAAATAATTTATTATAGTGTGCTATGAAAGTATCACTTGCTCACGTATTTTCATATCCAGTGACGTATGATAACGTATAATAATCTCAGAAATGTTCTAGACATTTTAAATAAGTAGCACCCAGTTTACTCGATGAACAAAAAACTCGATTCAATGAACCACCGCTTACGTCTCGGAGTCTCGTTCGAAGTCAAGTTATATGTGAGAAAGGCAAACGTTTGCAGAGGATCATGCGGGGGTGCCGCCCCAATTACCTGAGCAAAATCCGCTTAATATAATCTCGCCAACGAGATTTTGGGCTGCACCTGCGACATCCTCCAATGAAGTGAGGTGCTTAAATATCGAAATACACGAGAGGACAAATAATTATCCTTAGAAGCTCGAAGTTTGGTGTACAGTAATTTTCTTGCTCAATTCCGAGGGAATCAAGCCTATTCAACTAATAAGACGTAATTTTTTCATGTAGCTTTGCTGTAAATTTTGAGATTTAAATAGATTTGATAAGATTTAAAGAGTTTTTTTTTTTGAAGAAAATTAATATTTCATTAGCTATACTTTTAAATCATAATTGTTCTGTTTATAAACCCGTTTTATCTCATTCTTTTACAATTAATAGAATATTTCTAAGGTTATAATATTGTAATGGGTTGGATAATAATAACATCAATAGATAAAGAACATTTTGCTGATACTAATAGAGATTTTTATTTTGATCATGATAATAGTCAATAACAAACAATTGAAGTGAATCATTAATATTTTGAGAGTTGGAGAATCGACTGTATGGTTTTACATAATTAGCGTGACGTAGCTAGCATAAGCAATGCCCTTTCTCTCAAACGAGGCAAATCGTATTTATCAGCTAATACGATATTATCGAGTCTGTTTTTAGGACATAAATCGGAGATCAGTATATCTTCGCACTTTTGTTTCAACCCTTTAATCTGATACTTGCTATCGGCCGCCAAAATTGTATCCATCAAGGAAAATTCTCGAGACTCAATTCGACCTGTGCTCATGTATCGCAGCATCTCCATTGCAGCCTTGTAACTAACATTTTTCATATCAATATATATATAATGGCTTTTGCCATGGTCCATCATTTCTTTGAATACTGCACTTGATTTAGCGAGTATACTCCTAGGCGCTGCTAGTTTTTTTTCAGACGCAGTCAGCAGAACGACCGTACCGCGTTGCTCGTCACGAAGCTCGTCTTCAACGGACTTCGGTTTTGCTACTTCATTCGCTTCGACGGTTTCGTTGTTCATCAATGAGTTTTGCGTACTTTCCGTGGCGATCGTTAATTGACAGTGAATCGTTACAGTACCCGTAGACGAACAGAATTCGTTCATAGCACAAGTGTCAACATCGAAAATCTTTTTCAAACCCAAGCCGGTAAACGTGTGGCCGTCCATCGCGCGGTGAACGATCACGTCGCCCCTCATGACCGATATCTTGTATGAACTTTTCATTTTTGCATTTGTCTTCACGCAAAGTAGATACAAATGAATTTTATCGGTAGTGGCATCCTTGCATTTTTTCAGCTTGAATTGAAACTGCGCTTGATGATCGTTACCGATGTCGAATATCGGCGACTCGATTTTTCCTTCCTCTACTTCCAAAACTAGTAAATAATCACTTATCACCCACGTAAAATCGTAGCTCTCTTTATTGATCTTCGTGTAGCCTATGATTTTATTGTCGTTGGACAGTTTAGTGTAGCCTATGATTTTATGATCGTTGGACATTTTGTACGTTGGAAAAGTTGCGAATTGGTACACTTATTTTCACTCGAGACTTCAATCACACACACGAAATACTCGGCAATATAAATGTATCCACGACAATTCATAGGCTACGACTGTCGACAACTCAAGTCAACGCGCTGTGTATCGCAACGCGAGCTGTGCGTTCTAAAGTGCGCAGATCGAACGGGTCCTTTGTTTCGAATCGAAATCGGCGTTGCGATTCGCAAGTCTCGGGTAACGCGACAGGAACGTCGCAGAGCTGAGTAGTCAAGCAAGCCGCGTAAAAGTCGTGAGGTCTGCCGGCAGTTTCATACATGGGGCATAACATCAATATAGCGTATAGTACAGGTCATGCGTGAATTGATGAAGCGACAATAATAATAATATAATATATACGAGCGAGCATAAGCAGACTGAGCCCCTACTTCGTGAAATTAGAAAATAGAGCATAGACCATACAAAAATTTCAACGAGGCACTGTGTATCTCAATGAATGCCTTGCACATGCAAGCCTGCCTCGCGCTGTTATGGTAGCTATACTTATGCGAGCTTACCGCCGTACCGCGAAACGATACAGTCGAGCAGTAAAATGTTTTCGAGCCCACGGTCGTATTAAGTTTATCACTGCACCTAATCGATTCAAAGAAATCATTCGTCTCTTGGGTGTTATAAAAAAATGATATTTTAGACGGACCAACTTGAACTATTAAGAGACTGAATATTTTTTGTACTGAAATTTTTTTCTATGAAATCATAATTGAGCAAAACTTTCATTGCAACAACTTCATTTTAGTTGCTGATGAGCAAAAGTCTCCAAGACATTTTATATCATAATTTTACAATAAACAACAAATGTTTGGAAAAAATGTGAAAATACTTTCATGAAAAGATTAATCTTAATAAGCCATCAATACTCATACTCATATCATACATGTAATAAATTAACGTAGAATAATTATGTTTTTACAAACAATAGTATGTGTAGTTGGGTTTTTTCTTCGTGATTATATGTTAAATATTCCACATAATCGTGATCCACCTTAAAACGAGATTTTTGATTGATTCTTATTATTATTCGATGATTGAATAATTTAGAGGCTTACTAATTCATCAAGATACTTTGAAAGTAAGATTCAAGTTTATTATAAAAAATGACTGCGGTTAAATTAAAAACAATATTTTTGAGTTCTAAAAACAACACAAGAAAGAGATCATATTCTTTTGTGTATATACTAACACATTTAATGACATTAATATTTTGGTACATGCACTGACGATAATGAACTTCTACCACAAGTCAGTAAAATGTATATTTAATTTTATTATAATATGATGGATTGAATAACGACAAGGACAGTTGACATATATTTTGCTGATGCCAACTCAGATTTTTATTCTAATTATAGTACAAAAAGAGCATTCTTTTTTCAAATTATAATGAATGCAATACTTTATATTATATTCGCTTAACGCTAAAAAATTCAATAAAATCTTAATATCGCTGGATAATCACTTTGACAGAAATTGTGCCATACTCAGAATCATTGAACCTACTTCATCAGAGTTGGAAGATTGGCTGATATTATTTTTCACAAAATCAACAGCTTTTTTTTTTAAACTTTTCATGCTATATTTATCAGCAACTTGAAGAATATCTACAGCATTCTTAGATGACATCTTAGAGCTTAATATTTTCTCGCACTCATTTTTCAACTCATCCATTTGATACTTGTCACCGGCCGCTACGAGGTTAATAATCAAAGAAATGTCGCTATTTTCAATCCTACCCGTGTAGATGAACCGCAGCATCTCGATTGCAGCTTCATAACTAATATCTACCATATCAACCAATTGACTTTTGTTTTCCAACATATCATGACTGAACATAGCATTAAATACTGGACTTGCAGTGACGAGCAGAACTCTATGCGCAGGGATTTCCTTCCCACACGCAGAACGCAGCTTCACATCACTCAATATTTCATCAAGAAATACTGATTGGAACTTCGGCACTTGAAGTTTTAGTACTTTATTTTTATCATCGCATTCATAGTTTTGGGAGATCGCATGATATCCTAAGATAATTGAGAATTCACAGCGAAAAGTTATAGTACCGCTGGATGAAATGAATTTTTTCGACCCTTCAGAGTCAAGTTTGAAAATTAGCGCAGTAGAATTAGATTCATATGTAAAATTACCCGTGCTAACAATTGGCTGATCCTTGATAACTGATATCTTGTACTTGCATGGTAGTTCTATATTTCTCTTTAAACAGAATAAACTTAAATCCCCATATGAAGAATGTGAGTTGCCAATCCTTTCAGAAAATTGTAAATAAAACTTCAATTCTTTATTACTCCCGACATTGAAAATTGGCGACGACATTCTTGATGCACCCGTTAACGAAAGCTGTGATGGCCAATTATCAATCACCCACGTAAATACGAATTCTTCTTTATTAATTTTCGTGTGATATTTAGTTTCATTGACAGACATTTTACACGCACAAAATGTAGGGCACTGTATACATGCGAACACGATATTCAGCTGACTAAGACTGACCGTTGAAGAAGTCAAGACTCGTATCACCACACGAGCGTTTTGAAACTGATCAAAAGGATCCTTTGTTTGAATGAACTGTTTACGTCGGGACGCGACTCGCGAGACTCGAGCAGCGCCGTAACGTCGCTTAAATAGCGAACTACTGGAGAAACTGCAGAGTCGAGTTTCGATCATAACAAAACATTCATTTCTCCAGCGCAACTAAAGAAACACCTTTCACGTATATTTAGTAAAAAATCACGAAATAATATCATTAATTTTCTATAAAAAAATAAAATTACGGTAATTCCGTCACGATGCGTGAACGCACGATTTTGTATAATGATTTCAAAGCACAGAAAAAAAAATGTTTAAAATATTCAAAACTCCACACAACAAAACATACATTTTCATTGAGCATCAATAAGTATGTGGAAAATATATCAAGTGAACGTAGTATGATCGTCACATTAGCGCCAGGTAAAAAAAACATTTCAAGATAAGGTGCCTAATGTCTTTAGAATTTAGCAGTTGGCGCGTCGTTTTTCGCAACTCAAGCCACCAAAGCTAAGAAAATATCTACTTCCGCGGCATTGCACACTACATACACAGTCAAATATTAAGATTTACCTCGTTTTTCATTTCAACCAAAATCATCGAAAATATTGTGGGCTCACGTCTACGGATTTTTTTCGTGATCATATTATTTCGTGCGTACCAACACATCTCACAAAATATATATTTGTTTTTATAGTATTGTAATGAATTGAATAAATACAAGGATAGTTCTAGTATATTTCGCTGATGCCAGCAGAGATTTTTATTTCGATCTAGAGTACAAAAATAGCATTATTATGTTAAATTAAAATGAATTCAAACAATTACATTCTATTGGCTTAATTATAATTCAAAAGTTTAATCAAATCTTGAAATCGGTTGAAATCACTTGGATAGAAATTGTGCCATACTCAGAATCATCGAGCCTACTTCGTCAGAGTTCGAAGATTGGTTGATATTATGCTTTACAAAATCAACAGCTTGTTTTTTTAAACTTTTCATGCTATATTTATCGGCAACTTGAAGAATATCTACAGCATTCTTAGATGACATCTTAGAGCTTAATATTTTCTCGCACTCATTTTTCAAGTCTTCAAGTTGATATTTGTCAGCTGCCGCCAAAAGCTCAATCGTCAAAGAAATTTCACGAGTTTCAACGCCACCTGTGTACATGTATCGCAGCATCTCAATTGCAGTTTCATAAGTAATATCCACCATATCAACTGATTGGCTTTTGTTTTCTAGCATGGCATGGCTGAACATGGCATCGAACACGGGACTGGCAGTGGCGAGCACGACTCTATGGGCTGGGATTTCTTTTCCACGCGAGGTTCTTAGCAACACATCACTGAATTTTTCGTTGAGAAACACCGAATCGAACTTCGGTAACTGACGTTTCGGTGCTTCGTGCGTTTTTACGGGTTCACAGTTCAACGATTTCTTATGTTTATTCGTGAATAGTGAGAATTCGCAGCGAAAAATTAAATCACCCGTGGACGAAATGAATTTTTTCAGTTCCTCAATCCGAACTCTAAAAATCCGACCGCTTTCAAATGGCTTTCTATATGTACAATCATTCGAATAGGTGTTAACACTCTGACCATCCTTGATAACTAATATGGTATACTTGCATGGTAATTCTGTATTTCCCTTTAAACAGTATAGCCATAATTCTGCAATATGCCCAGCATCCCATTCATATATTTCAGAGAATTTCAATTGGAACTGTAATTGGTTATTACTACCGACATTGTATATTGGTGATGAAACTTGTGTATCTTTCCTGTTCCAAGACGCTGGCCAATTACTTATCACCCACGTATGTTCGAATTCTTCTTCATTGATTTGCGTATAATATACAGTTTTATTGGCAGACATTTTACACGCACAAAACGCTGGACTTTAGATATTCTGTGGTTACGATATAGTCAACTGACTAAGACTAAATATATCGTCACTTATACACTCTACAAATGATCAAAAAGTCCCTTTGTTCGAATGAACTGTCTGCTGCGACGCGTTCCAACTTGAAAGTTGAAAGACTCGTCTCACTCGAATCTTGTGACTTGAGGCGAGTGCGAGTCGAATAGCGTCGTAAGCGTCGCTTAGCGGACGATTCGAGAAATTATGCATCACCACCGCTCCTACAAAGCCAGCGAAAACAATCAATTAAAATTTTTTTAACGAAAATTTTTCTTGTTTTTTTTTTCGTGTCCTCGAATACTATCACCGCCAATTAAACATTGTCAGCAATAATAATTACAATACAAATAATGCCAAAGAAAAGTATTATTTTTCAAAAGTTGTTCGTAAAGACTATTACTACTAAATTGATCGCTGCAAATAGTTAAATCGAATTAACCTTGTTTGGTACGAATGTTTCTTATCTCGTATAATTTTTTTGCGTTGCACATAATGCGGGAGTGGTTTTTTTCTCTGACATTTCTTATAGAGACATTTTTTTAAATTTTCGATAGTGATAGTTTTTTGTTAACAAAAAATAATAATTTAAGTTTTTGTCGTGACATTTATCGAAAAGATATGTTAATTCGTCGCATTTATACATGAGCGGTACATTTTTCCAGCGACAATATAAGTGTCGACCAAAACAAATATATCATTCATTATTCTCCAGCGAAATGAAAAAAAATTAAATTATCGGATGTATCCTTGTATGATATTAGATCTGACTACTGTGCACCATTGTGTTAATATTGCCGGACACCTTACACACACGAGCACGCCCTACTTTTCTATGTTTACTTTTTTCTCGCGTGTCGAATCTAATATTACTCAAGTGCGTATATTATAACAATAACACGAAATGATTTTATTAGTTACCTATAAAAAATTAAAGATGCAGATATTCTGTCACAAAAACTGTATTTACAGCATCGATGAAAATATCGCTGTATCAATGCCATCTCACCAAGTTCATTATGTCAGTAAATCGTATTTGTTTTTGATTGAATAACGACACGCATATAGGTAAAGTATACTTTATTGATTTCAGCTGGGATTTTTAATCAGATCTCTATAGTACAAAAGTAGCATTATTTCTTCACAGTAAACAGTGGCTAGCAAGTAACTAACAAGAAATTGTGTTATAATACATTTTAGTTTCGTTAAAATTAAAATCACTTGGAACATACTGAGAATCGTATTCCTCGCTTCAACTGTAACTGAACATACATTAGCAAAAAGATTCTCTTATGAAAACCAACCATACGGCTTTCTTCAAACTTCTCATGCGACATTCATTTATTGGCTATGTATTTAAAATGTATAAAAATCGCGCCCATACCAGCCCAAGTAAGCCCATCGATCAGAAAACTATATTCTCGGACAATTTCTCGGTTAATTACCGAGTTATCGTTATGCGAATGTCGTAAAAAGCTCGCTAATTTGCGCTTTAAAGCGAGACCCGGCCGGTTATATCGACCGTACACACATATCTCAATATCTACACAAACACACACAGAGCAAAACCTCCGCGCGGGTAGATTAGAAACGTGCTTTTGTATATAATTGACGTCCGGATTTCGAAGCGAGCGCAAGAGAGAAGCTGGCCCCCCCGATAGGAATCTCCGGAGGCGCGCAATTTCCACCCTCTTGTGTGTTACGTGTGTGTGTGTGTGTATGTGTCGCGCGCGCAATTTATGCACGATGTTATAATATAAACCGAGCGCAAATATGTGTGTGTGTACACGATATAGTTTCGAACGACTGCAGTTTCCACACAGCTGTATGTGTGCATAACGCTTATATACGCTTATATACGTATAGCTAAATGATTCGACGACAAGCGTCGAACTCGACTCGCGCAGTCGGGGGCTTGTACATATACAGCGCTGCAGCTCTATAAACTTAGTCGCTCGGTATCTCGTTATCTCTCTCTCTCTCTCTCTCTCTCTCTCGGTTTACTATATTAATTGTGCAAAGGCAGCAGCAGCAGCAGCAGCAGCAGTTCTGAGTATTTCAATGCGAGCCGATGGATCGTCGTCGTCGTGCAAGCTCGCCCGAGCTTTCGGGCTGCGTATGTATAATAAACGCGAATGGCCGAATTATCAAGCGTTAATATCATAACTTATTTCCGAGCAAATAAAGCTTGATGTGATTTCGACGACATATATATACGTGTATAATATACGAGTGCTCGACTCGCTCGAAATAATGTATATCGTTTTGATTTTACGCCGCACCTCGATGATGATTCGATATCAGTAACGGAATAATTAGCGAAGAGTTTCACGGGCCATTGGATCCGTGCGCGTGTCTAATTTCATTCGCCTCGTTATATACGTATGTACTTTTGTTTACGAGACGTCGAATGAGAATATAATGTATTCCAGTTGTGTATGCATTTTATTACGATGATATCGAAGCTCTCGTATAGGAAGAAGAAAAAAGTCAATTAATTTTCCATCGATTCGTGGCTCTTGAAATAAGCGTGCTCTACAAGACCGTAAGAATGAATACGCGACTCGCGCGGCCAGGCGCGTATTTCATGCATATTCACGGCGACGAACGAGTAAGAAATGAAGTCAAGTGCATAGCGACGACGACGAATGGAGGACCTGAAACTCGAGTGGCGCACTTCTTTACCACCGAGCAAATGTGATGAGGCATGCCTAAGTAAATTACGCCGAGAGTACACTGTGATATTCTATTTTTAAACTTTTCTTCTTCTTATTCTAGGGTCTGAGGTCTTGAAGAAGATACTTTGAATTTTCAACCGGGATTCGTATACGTGAATTATCTATGATCGTGCATACGAGTGTACGAGATAAACGTCGGGATATTCGAAATGAAATGTCGCGTATGACTTTTACAGAATTGTCAGATTAGTTTTTTTTTTTTTCATTACGTTAATATTTCTAGTTAAATAAACGAGTGCAAAATCCACTATAATTAACAACGAACTTATCAGGATAAAGCGTTCGAATCGCGCTGCGGAGGTAAATGATGCAAAGCTCTGTATCGATGAGCCAAATGGAGTACGCTCGATTAAGAGACACTTCTTTCTCTTCGATTTTTCCAATTATTGCACAATGAAGCGCGCCGCGCGCTCGTATGCATGGCACGGTCAAACAATCGATTCCGCGCTTCATTATCACACTCGATCGGAAAAGCGAGTCCGAAGATGCATCGAATACAATAATGATGTTAACAGCCGGATGAAAAAAAAATGGATTAATTTCTTTCGCTCGGAGAGCATTCGCGATGATGTTGCTTTCGGTTTTGTTCTTTTAGAGTTATGGTATTGCAATAGACGAGGAAATTTTCATTTAGAATTATTATTTTTCACGATATGCATCGATTTTAAAACTCATATTACACAAGGAAACAATCGAGATATTGTTTTCGAATTTATCAAATGATTAATACGTATTTGAAGGTTTAGGCAGTCGATCAATAGACTGTTTTTGTAGTATGCGGGTGAAAGGGCCAAACACTTGACCTTGGAAATTAATGACGTTAATTCATTATCAATTTTTAAAAATGCCGATAAAATAAGTAGCTAAATAATATAACGCGTATCGATAATTGGATTGCGACAAATCAATTTATTACGTTAAGCAATTTTCAAATGATGGATAAATATAATAAGTAAATTCGATATTTTAAAAAGCTTTTATTTAAATTTTCAGATCATTTCGAGAGAAATTCTGCCATACCGAGAATTATCGTACTCGCATCATCGGAAACGGCGGGTTTATTTATGCAGCGTTTAACTAAATGTATCGCATCTTTTTTCAAACCACTCATATCGTATTTATCGGCAATCGTGAGAACTTCAATGGCATTTCCGGACGATAAATTGGTGGACAATATTTTTTCACATTTATCTTTCAACTCTTGAAGTTGATATTTGTCAGCGGCTGCCAGAAGGTCGATGGTCAAGGAAATTTCCTCATTTTCCACTCTACCCGTGTAGACGTATCGCAGCATCTCAACCGCAGCTTCGTGACTAATGTCAACCATATCGACCGAGTTGCTTTTGTTTTCCAACATGTCGAGGCTGAACATGGCCTTGAACACTGGACTCGCGTTAGCGAGCACGACTTTATGGGCTGGAATTTCTTTTCCGCACGCAACTCGTAGCTTGACGTCGCTCAAATTTTCATTGAGAAATATCCAGTCGAAATTATATTTAGATGCTACCGCATGATTCGCAACGGTGGATTCGTACTTCAAGGAGTTTTTCTGATCCCCCGTGACAACTTCCAATTCGCAGAGAATAGTCAACGCACCCGTAGGCAATACGAATCTATGCAGTTTGTCTGCGGCAAGGTTAAAAATCACATTTTCGCTTTTAGACGTAGAAAATGTACAATGATCCGCGTGGGTTTCCGGAGATTTTCCATCTCGAATAACTGATATCTTGTACTCGCATGGTGTTATTTTATTATTTTTAACGACGTGCATAAGAGATAAACGCCTAGTCAATGTCCTTATGAACTTGCGGTACTTGTCAAGTTCATCAACAAAGCTTTTCTTGAGTTCCAATTGAAACTCTATTTTATCGTCACTATTGACACTAAATAGTGGCGATCTTATTTTACCGTCTCCTTTTTCCAAAATCAATATGTAATCGCTTATTACCCATCTAAAATTGACTGACTCTTTTTCAATTAGCGAATAGCCTGTTAAGACCGTTTCGTCGCTTGACATTTTTCACACTTTGGACAACGATTATTAGTTAGCACGCCAATCTTCAGACTCGGACTAATCGAACCGACGCACGAGTTTACGTATTTATATTAAATACAAAGACAGACTTTGGATAACGGAACTCTTTATTTGTTTAAATGAAGCCTTGTTTGTGAGCTGGAATGATTGGAGGAAAAAATAGGCTAGGATTTTAATAGCTTACTTCAGCACGAGCAAGCCGAAGTTTACAGCCATTTGAAATTTGACACTGTTCAAATTTTAAATTTCTCGACTTTTTTGTTCATAGATTTTTTCGCTCAGCAGAGATATAATCAGTCCGTCAGCGAATTTGTAAATAATCTTTTTCTAACGCGTGCTTGATCAACTCGGAGTCGTGGATCATTTCGTGAGGTTTATTAAAAATCTAGTAGCCAACTCAATGCTTACCTCATTAATAGTTCCAAACAAAACGTAAAAAAATTTTTTAAGTCGATCATTGCATTAATAAATGCACCGAAATTAGTAATTAGCAATCGTTTAGTTACAAAGGTACAATGATAGTTGAACGCTCGAGGTTCAGGCAATACACGATTTTTTCAACAGAATTTTTATTTATTCTAAAAAAACATGTGAATGAGTATCTATGAGTAATTTGGTGCTAGAGCAAATGCATTTTCAGTTCAAATTTCTACTCGATTTATTGCAAGCAAAAACTTTGATACTGTCGGCAAATTTGATTATTGTCCACATTTCTGTTCGCATTTTTCGCCCGTGTCACATTTACAACCTTCGTGTACTTTTTTTTGGTGTGAGAGCAATTGTGCTTTTTGTCCATATTTCTTCTCGCATTTATCGCACGGGAAATCTTTGCGACCCTCGTGTACTGTTCTTTGGTGTCTGATCAAATCGGATTTCATTCCAAATTTCTTCTCGCACTTGTCGCATTTGTAACCTTCGCGACCTTCATGGGCTGTTCTTACGTGCATAAATAAGCTCCATTTAAATCCAAATTTCCTCTCGCACTTGTCACATGCGAAATCTTTGCAACCCTCGTGGACTGCTTTCATGTGCAAGAGCAAATTACTTTTCTGTCCAAATTTTTTATCGCAATACCCGCATGTATAATCTTTGCGACCGTCGTGGATTGTCTTGTGGTGCCTCAATAAATCTGATTTATATCCAAATTTCTTCTCGCATTTTTCGCATGGGTAATCTTTACGACCTTCGTGGACTGTATTTTGGTGGAAAAGCAAATGCCCTTTTTGGGTAAATTTCTTCTCGCATTTATCACATGCAAAATCTTTGCGACCCTCGTGAACGGTTTTTTGGTGTCTAATCAAAACACTTGGCATTCCAAATTTTTGTTCGCATCTGTCGCATGCAAAATCTCTCCGACCTTCATGGATATTTCTTTGGTGCAAAAGCAAATGATGATTAAGTCCAAATTTTTTCTCGCACTTATCACATGCGAAATCTCTCCGACTTTCATGGACTGTCCTTTGGTGAACCATCAGATGCCCTTTTTGTCCAAATTTACTTTCACATGTGTCGCATGCGAAATCTCTATGACTTTGTTGGATTGTTTTTTGGTGCAAGGGCAAATCTGATTTTTTTCCGAATTTCTTCTCGCACTTGTCATATAATTGATCTTCGCGATTGTCGTGTACTTTATTTATATGTAAGAGCAAACTATGTTTGTTTCTAAATCTCTTGGCGCACTTTTCACATAAGAAATCTTTAAAAACCTCGTGGAATATTTTTTTGTGCTTAAGTAAACTGGATTTGTTTTCAAATTTCTTCTCGCACTTGCTGCATGTGAAATTTTCGCGATATTTATGTATTAATTTTTGGTGCGTAAATAAACTTGATTTTTTTACAAATTTCTTCCCGCACTGGTCGCATGCAAAATCGTTCTGACCTTTGTGTTCTGATATTTGGTATCTGCTTAAATGACTTCGGAACTTAAATTTTTTCTCGCACTTGTCGCATGAGTAATCTTTTTTTTCAATGTCTCGGTGGGTTATCATGCTTGATTTAAGTGTAAATGCTTCCTGACAAATGTCACCAACGTTTTGTTTGTCGTCTAAAACAACAACTTCGTCAACACTTAAACTATCTTTTGAAATGATTTCCTCGGATTTCTTCTCACTTTTATCCATTTTGGTGCCTGAATTAAACTATTGATTCTTCCATTTAATGCCACGGAAATTGAATAAGTAAAATTGATCTTTTGATGTTCAATCGGAAAAGACAACATTGAAACTAATTTGTTTTTACTATGAACATTGATCAGTGTTCGTGGAACTATTTCAAAATCAATTATGATTATATTGTTTACAATTAAAGTACCGATTCATATTTTTACACACTGTTCTTACAACATGTGGAACAATACAAAATTACACCTTAACGATGATTATTTCGAAGATATTTTTAACTTTTCAATTAAGCAGTGGACATCTTTTTATTCAGAAAGTTGCAAAACAAAGAATTTAAAAAATGTGTAAATTAAAATAGAGTTGGAGTTGTTTAAGGAGGTTCGGGAGTCTCAGCGAAATGCAGCCAAATTTTTAAAACACGTTTAATTGCTTTGAAACTTTATAATATGAATGTTAATATCAAAATACAACTTTTCACCGCAAAATTTTGTTAAAATGATGAAAAAATTTTTTGACCATTTAACATGGTTTCTTACGAGAAATCATGAATTTTCGCTTTCAATGAGCATAAACATAATGTAAAAAAACAAAAACTAAATAGAAAAAAATACGTACATGTAGGAAATTTAATAAGGAATAATTTGACTGCAAAAAGAAGTTCATCGACCGTTTAGTTATCGAGAAATATATTGTTATGTGTAAAAATTCGTGGGTCATTTGTGCGTACCCTAACCAACAAATGAGCTAGAACAACAAAAATATGTGCTCATTCGACTCTAATGACAAATAGAGTATTGTTTTAAGCCTAAAACATCGAAAAAAACTCATCAAAATGATTGAATTATTAATAATAGCTATAATTGTGTGCCAGCTCATTGAAAAAACCTACAATTTCGTGTTATTTCGAAGTTGGCAGCGCTGAAAATTTAACATTGGAAGTATAGGAGCCCCTCGCGTCCCGCTTCGTCCCCCTCTTAGACTCCCGAACCTCCTTAAAATAAATTTTTGAAAATGTTGTCACATTTAAATGTTTGAATATTTTTTTTAGAAATTTTAAGACCAACTGTTGCCTTGATATCATAAAAACTTATTTCGGGATTATGCTTCAAGCTAGCTAAAGAGCAATTGAATGAGTTTTAAGCTTTTTTAACATTTCAGAAGGGTATATTTAATCAAAACTAATTATGGCAATAATTTTATAATTTTTTTTATTTTAAAATTTAACTTAAGTGTGTCTCCATAAATTTTCGAACATTTACCAACAAAAGTCGGTGCTGTATTAAAAGCACCTTTCTTTTCCTGCGCTGATCATTATAATGCATGAAAATGTTCACATTACATAAATAGGAAATTGAATAAGTTTGAAGGCGGCCCTAGTAACTTTTGATGGCTGCACAGCTTTTCGGCTTTCTTGCTTGGAATACGAGAGCTCAGTTTGCATTTTTACTGGCCTACGGTGCGAAGAGCAGCGAGTCAGCTCGTTGACCTCGTTTCGCTTCTAAAACTCGTCTCGTCACTAAAGAACCTCAAGCTATCCTTTACCCTCGCATCTACCTGTGAATGCTTCTTGAGAAAATAACTACCGATCATCGATGCCGCTTGCACCGATCATTCATAAAGTGGCTTTTTCGAGGATTCGTAGCTTAAACGCCGTGCAGACGAGAAAACATCCAAATGACATTGCTGCATTCGTGATTTATGCTTTTTCTCACTTCCATCCGAAATCATTGAATTTTTTTATTCAACACCACCTAATTTAACTTCAATTATCGTACTTAATTAGGATTGACGTACAATTTAATGTATTCGATCATCTTCTGATGTGAAAATTGAGAATTCACAGCGAAAAGTTAGAGTACGCGTCGACGAAATATATTTATTCCATTCTCCAGAAGGAAATTTGAAAATTTGATAGGAGTTCAAAGCCGTAAAATATCTCCAATCATTCGAAAAGGTGTCAATAATTTGGTCATCCTTGATAATTGATATCTTGAACTTGCATGGTAATTCTGTATTGCTCTTCAAGCAGTCTAGATCTAATTCATCGTGTCGATCATAATATTCATAGATGTTGTAACATTTCAATTGAAACCGAAATTCTTCGTTACTACCGACATCGAATATTGGCGATGGTATTGTTGCATTTCTCTCGTCCCAAGGCATTGGCCAATCATCAATCACCCACGTAAATAAACATTCTTCTTTGACAGACATTTTGCACGCACAAAACTTTGGGCACTAGATGTATTATGTGCACACGATAGCCGGATGACTTATAAACTGACCGTTGCACAAATTAAAATGAGACTCTTAATTGATATCTTATCAATTTTCACATTTCACAGTTGACATTGTCGAGTCTCAGGTAGAAACTCGAGTTTCAAGTAGAATAAAAGATAAAAAGCCCAAACAAACCGATAAATCTCGTAAAATCATCTTGAAATGCATCGGGGCAATTCACGTAGAGTGAAGTATTTTCGAAAAGTATCTCCCGGTCCAAAGGCGGGAAATACCCCCTTCTCTAAGTTCTCGTCTGCACCCGCCACCGAGTGGAAATTCAATTATCGGCCATAAGCTCGTTCGTTAGCGAATTAGTCGCGGAAATAGCCACGAAGCAATTCATATGGACCTGTCGAACGACGAGTCCGCAGAGCTCGAGCAATATATATAATCTATTACGCTGCTTGAATTTTGATGACGCCCAACCGCGCCCTCGCGTAATTGCCACTATTCAATTATTTCTGTAAGACCGATAAATTTTCGATTCGTCGAAATCCGTCGAAAGTTCAAAACGTTGCGATGTTTTCGATGCACTCGACAAAAAATTAAACTTCATTTATTCTCGAGATGACAAAATTCATA